ACACACAGAACCAAAATATAATTTCTTTAAAATAGCTTCCCGCCACCCTCAATTTACTCAAATTTTGAAATTACCAAGCATATATTGCAACTTCCCTGCTCACTCAAATCTGCAACAAAGCGCACCCCAAAATAATCTCCGAAATGACTAGTTTCTAAAAAAATTCCAAAAATCCAATCCAAATTAAGCTCCATTTTCAAAATCAAAGGATTTTACATACCATATTTCGCCTGTTTACTGGTATGCAGTTTAGAAATTAGAATATGGAAAATTGTTTACACATCAACAAAAGGCCAAACCATCAGTGGAAATAACAAAGTATAATGCGCCTGCTCTAGATTTAGTGGAATTCAACCTGGAATTAGTGTGTTACACGTGTGTTATTTGGTATTGATCAGTGTACACGATTTTAAAAAACGAGCGACTTCTCCTCGTTTTCATGCAAATGTTTAAATTTGCATACAATAAATTGCCAACCCATAAAATTCGTCCTAGCTACGTACCTGGCTGTTGAGCGGACGTGATTTTATTACTATTATTATTATTGTTAAATGTCGCGTGTGAATAAGTTTAGTTTAAAGAAAGGTTTTTAATTTTTCGGCACACATTCAACGAACTATTATATTTGATCCAAATTTCAATGAGAATCTATAAAATTGAATACGAAGGAAGAATATTTTATTTTACTTGAAATTACAACTTGACAATTACCTCAATTATTTTATATACAAACCGATTGCTCTGATCTTAATACGAACCTCAGTAATTTTGTGTCGAACGCCAATAGCAATCAAGCGGTTTTTAAGATCCTTTCTTCTACTTACCGATCCAAGACCCTCGTGGACACTCTCTTTATGTTCACATTACGGGTGTAAGATTCCCGATGTTTTGCTAGATTTATGTCGAACTCGCCTCCGGCTCTCTCAACAATTGAATATACCTATACAAAGTGTCTGGAATCTGGTTTTATTGTAGGAAGATGACGTCATTTGCATAAATGCAACTGGTAGCTTATGCCTGGTGAAACGTGGTGAATTGCACGATTGGTTGCCTATATAATTATTTACGTAGGCGCAGCTCAAATTTTTCACGGCCTGTCCCTATGCACCTAGGGGATGTTTCTAGTTCAGTTACTTATTTGATGACAAGATGTCTGCATGTAATGTCCGATTGAACAGAAGGTGAGTTTGGCTCAAATTCGACGAAACTCACCATTTGCCACAAGTGTCCATACCACAAGCAACATTTTTTACAATCCCAGTAAAACAGCGAGTTCTATAATTCTTGACCTTGACCAAATATGTATATTCATAAATGCATGGTAACGGTGTAGAATGGGGTTTTCCGCGTTTTTTCAAAAACCTTGAAAATGAACTCCAAGCACATTAAAAAAATTAGTGGTACTCATTTTTTTGTCAAGAGAAATCGTTGTGATTAGCAAACACGATTTTAAAATGAACGGCGTTTGAAAAGTTTCGAATGACCGCCACGTTGCTGTGACGTCACTACGCGCGTTGACGCTCAGCCGTAGCATTGCTTACAATCGATTCAGAGAAAGAAAACGTCGTTTTGACGGAAAAAAGCGTCGAATAATTATTGCATTTGCGCCTGGGTGTGATAGCAGAAGTCATCGCGAACCTAATAAATTGTATATAAACGTCCCAACAGGAAATATACGAAAAAAGTTCGACGTGATACCGCGAATTTGAAATCCCATTTGTATTGTTGTGAAGACGATTCTAATTAATTAAAGTGCATAATGTCGATTTACTTTCAGTCAGTTATCGACGAAAATCCATAGATATATAATATTGTAATTGTAATTCAGAATATGATTTACTTCGAACTCTGTTCTGGGCATATCTGTGCCCTTACAGCACACATTTTTCTCTATTTTCACTTCCACATATCCAACACCCTAATTTTCTCGTTGACATCTGTAAGGTGCATACTTTATTAGGTACCTACACTATACACACAAAACTGGATGTTATACTTCCTATGAACCATAACAGATTTGCTTCTGGGCTTTGACTCCACTCAAACGAGTGGCATGGAAAAACTCACTTTTCGAGAAAAAGGCGGCGACCATTAACACTTCAACCTTTGGCAAACTATCTAACTGCCCCTTTACGAACCAGTCAAAACTCGGTTTATGGCAGATTGCCATTTATAAGCAGAGACTTGCTATAACTAGACTGCGCTTAACGTATCTAAGGTGTTGCCGACACAGTATGCAACACACAATGCACCGCGGGGCAAAAATCTCTGAGATGATATGCAATATAATGAAATAAGCTGTTATTTTAGATCTTCCGTTCATTAATCATTCTCGTGATTAGCTCGAATTAGTGAACAGATAAATTTCTGTTGAGAATAAACCAATAAACTTAGGTTAACTTGTGCCTATCAACATGTACTCTGTCGATAAATGTTTAAATAATATGCTGATTTTCAACGGTTAAAAGTTTAAAGGGCCAATGGATCAGAGCCATTTGAAGAGAAAAATTTACTCCCACCAAAGTGCACTTGCAGGAAATGAAGCCGATTTTAGAAAGGTACCTACGAAGGTGTTAAACAATAATGCAATACCGAGCGTTTTCGACTTTCCTATTCACTTAAAATAACGTAGAACTATTATTCGACATCCTTTACCAGCAAGACAACGGCAATACCTATTTGCCTATTAGGTATAGACGTAACTAAGTACTTACTGGTACTAAGTATATTTCAGGTTTTGTTACAAGAAAAATAGCTAAGTCTGTTAAATGTTCCATATGTGAAGATGCGATATTCAAAGCTTTTAACTAGAAAAAAATCGTGGGGGATTGTTGCACGTATCAAACGATGCATGAAAAATTTGCCAAATTGCTCAAAATGTGTTCAGGTTTTTCATTCAATCCACACCACACTGCGTTGTAAACAAAATGGTTATCAGCAGTCTTAAGCCCCATTCACATAGGTGGTAGTGCGGTGCCGTTGCCTTGTTGTGCGGTGCGAATCGGTGCTGTCAAGTTGACATTTGCTTTCACAATCACCGCAAAATTGGCACGCCTACACAAGTATGACCAATCAACGACAACAGCAACAAATATGTTGCACTTCTATTGGTGCTTGCTAACGGTAGTGCAGAAAGTTTGAAGTTTACATACTTTCGGCACACGGCTGCAATTCGTCTGCACTGCACATGTCATTGTGAATTGTCATATGGATATGCGTATTTCAAACTTTTATACAAAGGCACCGCACCGCAACAGCACTGCACTACCACCTATGTGAATGGGGCTTAAGAAAAATAAACAACAGTTACAGCCCATTTGGGTTTTTGGATAGGCATATATTGAATCAAAATCCGCTAAATAATCATATCTTACTACTTACATCTTTAGTTTTAAGAATATATTTGGCCACACGTGTTCACCACTAAAATACACATATAAATCAAATTAGGACTAGAGTAAGGCAGTTATATACCAATTTAGTTCAAATAAAATACCAATAAATTCGATTAAAACAGTTAACAGCTATATGTTATCTTTTTTTGCTACTAAAATTTAGAAGAAACATGGCTAAAGCAAGCTGCAGAACGTACGTCTGCCCCGCGATGAACAGTTGGTTGCCAATACTATCTTGACAACAGGCGTTTATAGTAAAATCTACGTTACGCGCGGTCTAGTTATAACAAGTCTCTGATTATAAGTCGAATCGAACTCCTATCAGTGTCATGCACTAATATAACTCCCGATCGGCAACCCGCGTAGTGACGTATGCGACGCTCGGCCAATATCGGCATGTCGTCGGTTGCATGACAAAATTTGAAAGTTTTACGATATTAGGTATATGTTGTTTATTGACATGCTGCAATTAGGGAAAAAAGTTTTGCATATGAGATGTTTAATTACAGGTTATAAACTTTACAGTAAGACACAAAAAAGTTACAATATTTTTTTGCAGGAAGACCCTATTGCTGAATTTTTTATAAATTTGTGATAAAATTTTTATTCAAAGATGTACAGCAACTATCTAATGTGCAATTGTTAGTGGTCTAACGACATGCAATAAAATTTAAATCTAAATTGGCTACAGAAGTTTTCTTACATCTTTGCCGTGATTGTGCTCTATTGTCATCATTTTCTTCTTCTACACGCTCATATTTGCAGAACCCCCTCGCTTTCATATTCACAAACGACTTACTTGTTTCTTCCTTTATTCAACAACCAGGCACATACATATTTAAGTACCTATCACCTTTGAATATTATTGATTGATTATTGATTTTATATTCAAAGCTATCACCCAATTTCGTCATGAAGACGCGCCGTACTTTCCAATCAATCGCCAAATATTAAATAGTCTCTATACTTTTATATACTCTAAATCGGTCTCAGACACTTCTTATTTAATAAATTCTAAATGCAAATAACAACAGATATCAAATAAGATCTCATTTTGTACACCTATTAGTTTGGATTACCTGCAACTCTTTGTGCAAAAAATAATATATGGTAGGTATACCAACACCGTAAATTTAATTAAAACTAATAATGGCAGCAGTGTAATTAATTCTACACAACGGTAAGTCTCATTAAAATCTGAATGGTGTGTGAGTCTTTAAGACCTTTTATACACCTATACGCTGAATGTAACTGTGATGTATCAAAAGCAAGCCAATTTTGAACGCACTGCTTTGAAAGCAATTAAATTAGGGAGAGATCACGGCGTTTATACGTAGAAAGCAAAATTCTTCCGGTCAATCTTTTTAATCGCACTTCCATTATTCTCGTCAAATCTACCATTCCGCATTTACCTACCTTCGAACCTTTTATATCCCTATAAAAAAACCTCCTCAAGTTAAATTTTTTAAATTATTTTACAATTGCTGTATAAACTTCCGAACTTTAACCACTATCGTAAATATCATTACATTACAACGGACATTTCTGCCCAAGTTACAAAATTACTACACTAAAAGTGAATATTAATTATAGTTTCTTTTGCAGATGAAGAGGATTTGTTTATGGTTTCGGACTTGCTCTTAGGAGGTGATCTACGATACCACATACAGCAAGAAGTCTATTTTAATGATGAAGCTGTGAAACTCGCGATCTGCGAATTGGCACTTGCACTTGATTACTTACAATCCAAGCACATCATTCATAGGTAGGTATGTGGATCTATTCCTCAAGAAGGCATTATGTTTTGGTTAAAACCACGCGTTTACGTTCGTTTATTCGCCGGTATATTCGTATATAACCGGTTGCTTTCACTTGGAGTTAAGATGGTCTCAATATGGTTGAAGGATATTACGCAACTCAAAATGGCGTCGACTGCCGGCCTCGTTCGAGGCTGTACACGGATAGTAACTCGAAAACCGGATTCTCTGGAAACTCCCTGAAGCACAATTCGACTAATATAGCAAACGCATATCTCTCTCGGAAGTTCTCGAACGCTCCCGAATATTCTGGAATGTTCTCCAACAAATAGGTCATATTTTCCGGAAAGAATTTTTATCGCCGATGACTAATCTTTTATTTTATTCGAATCTTTTACTATACAAAAGCTCAATATCAACAAATTTTCGCCGAGGGTCATAACAGCACTCACGCTGTATTTTCTTAGTTGTTACCTAATGCAGAAATGCAACCAAATTAAAATATCATGCAATAATCTATATGGCAAAAAGGAAAAGGAAGAGAAGAGGAAAAATTCCATACATTTAAAGTAGGTAATAAAATGAGTTACCTAAATTATACACTGAAATAGAAAACATATTTACACTAAATAAATATAATCAATAATTGCTTGAGCACAAAAAAATGGGTTTAACAAAGGATATTAGGCACAGTCATGAAATTCCGAAATGTCGCCGAATTCCTTCGCTAATGAAATATTTCATCAACGTTGTAAATATTGATTCATTATTTATTGCCATCGTTACGTTTGCTATGGTAGGTATAGTTGTCGTTATAACTCTAAAATCAAACAGCTATAGGTAGCTTACTTCCACATTTAAAGTGTTATTAACTTAGGTATGTTTATTTTTCAGAGATATAAAGCCGGACAACATTCTCCTTGACGAGGAAGGTGAGTTGAGGTCTTAAATAGATGTAGAAAAGAAATTTTGATCCATCATTTTAAAGATGATCTTAGTTACATTTTCTTGAGCCGTTTACAAATTCCCCTATTCAGTTTTGTACAGATGATAATGAGCTAAGAGAAATACCTACATATGAAAAATAAAGGCTGTGAGAGGTTAAGAAAATTTTGGTATTTCAAGGAAAACTTATAGATAGATAAGTAGGCAGTAGGCAGACAAAACAACAACAATAACCGGAAATGTCTCCATTTATCAATGATTTAAACAAAATAATTTTTCCTCATACTTATATAAAATAATTTCCGATAATTTCAATAGTAATTTTAGCTTCACAGTTTAAATGATGTAATCCACTTTATCAAGTCAGAAGTTTTACTGGAAACTAATCGAAAATACAACATTTTTTACTAATAAATGTGTAAACAAATATAGCAAACGAGTTCCTGGGTATGTACTCGTATATTGCATATATGCGAAAAACCTAATTTTGAACCTGAGTATAGATTTGCAATTATTCCATGTGCATATGTACCTACCTATCATTGCAGCATTTAAATGCTTTCATAAATAAGAAAGTTCGCACTGCTCATGCGCAAAACCAAATAAACTGGCGTTATGTTTGCCTTTATTCCAAGTTCCCCCTCTATCAAATTTCATAAATAAAAAGGTTTGCAATACGGCTAATAAATGGTCGAAATGCGAAAAGGGCACTGTGAATGTTGAATTGATTATAGTCAACTTTTGGCATTGCGTATTATACTTGGTAAATCTGTGCGCATATTGAATTCCATGCAATTCGGTTCATAAGTAACAAGCAAGCGCCTCGTGGTGTAATCTTGGTGCTCAGGCAATAATACTGGACTTCTCTACCTTGATTTATAATGTACTATTATCTACAATTCAATATCACCCCATTTTGAGTATAGATAATAACATGGATTAATACACTCCTATACGCCCAATCAGCTTGTTTCAAATTCTAACCAATCAGATGATTTTTTCAGTGATTAAAAGCTAGGTCACTTTTTATCAGCGATTAAACACTACGTAGCTTTTTATCAGCGATAAAAATGCGCGTAGGAATGCATAAGATATAGACCACGAGCCACCAATATGAAACCCCCCCCCCCCCCCCCTCCTGTGGGAATTTATGACTTATACTTTTTTTGTTGGTGTTACCTACCAGATTAATTCAATTCATCAATTCAATTGTTAGCCCTTTTTAAATTACAGCATATTCGGGGAAATTAAGAAATACTGAAAAATGTAAAAAAGAAATGAATTTTTTATTTTGTTTAATTTTAAACTACAAAAGGGTAAGTACATTTAATTACCATATTTTTTTATGACCTTATTTCATCAGTTCCATGAAAATGAAATTGTTTTTTTAAAAAATCTCAACTAACAACATATGATTTTATAGTATCATTTGTAATGAACTGTCATTTTCTTCATCCTCGTGTATTAAGTCGTCTAAGTTTAGTACTTCTGGTTCATCTTCATCTTATCCATTTCAAAGCTTTCTGGAACGTCAAGCAGTTCGGTAGTAGGCAACGGATCTCCTTTAATCCAATCAAACTTAAGCTCACCATTCTCCAACATCCACCCATGTCCTACTGGGGGTGGTGTGGAGGGTTTAGCTACATGTGCGTTATTCCATACGTAACATTGGTAGTTGACACGTTTTATGTGGTTTTCTAATGACGTTTTGCATGGGGGAAGTAGACTTAAATCTACACCTTTATTATTGGGCAGAGAAAATGCAGTTGTGGGAGAATACTTTTGTGAAAACAAATCAAACCGTAGTTTGTTTATATCTGTGTATTCCTTATTACTGTACAAGCAACAGACGAATTCCTCCAGGCCGTGTCTGTAAATGTCGGTGATGCTCCTAATGATGTAAGGATAGGTGTTTCAATGTGCGAGGCGAAACCGAGCAATGTGTCACGGTACTATACATTCAAAATTTTCAAAAAAGTAACTATTATATAGGTAATATTCCCAAGAAGTAAGAATGCACCCCTCAAAAATTCTAAAACGTTGCCGATTCGATCTACCGACATGTCGGGCGTTGCAATTTATCGCAAAGAACACGTTACAGAAGGTTTCGTCGAAATCGAAAAAATTCAAAACGAGAAAATTTCCATACTATACCCTTCCTTCGATTAAAATCGAAAAAAAATTGTCAAAAATCGTTCGCTTTTTCGATGTCATCTTATACATTTGGGCACGAGGATTGCAAAAATGGAAACAAAATCTCATAAAACATTACGGTTCCGGCGATAGGGGGAGCGCTTCGTTTGTCGAATTTTTCAAAGTTTTACAAAAAAATTAATAATTTCGCCAATATTCGAGGTATGCAAACGGTTGATACGGCGATCGAAAGAGAAAGGATGCATCGTACGACACTTTCACCGCCCGCAAAAATTCAAAAGGGTCTACGAGAGAGGGCGCCAAAGGGAAAATTAAAATGCTAGTAGAAATGGGCGCAAAATGGGCACTTGGCGGTGAAATCTTGGTACTTTTTGTTACTAAACGATTACTTTAGAGACGGGTCTGATCTATATGCTTACCATCCCCACGGTACGGTCGTAAGTGCGTTAAATCAAAATCGATATGAAAAAGCTAATTTTCGAAGAAATTATGATCCCAAATTTATTATTTTTGTTTTTCGTTAAAAACGACGTTAAGATTAAGTGAGTGCGAAAGTTTGGCGGAGATTTGAGGTCCCATCCTACATTTAATATTTGGTAGTTTTCATGATTTTTTCGTGTTTTTCCGGGATATGTTGTAATTCGCATGTGGCAAACACCTAAAACCTCAAAATACATGTCAATACAAACAAAAAAATGTATGTGCTCAAAAATTCCCACGGGGGGGGGGGGTACATCTCAGCCTCCGCTCTAACACTTATGTATAAAGTGGTTGTGAAATTTACTGTCTTTTATTAATCTCCCTAAAATACACTCGATCTTGGTTTTAAATCAGGATAATTTTATTTTTAATTCACTTAAATTTTGTTGCTTCCTGGAAAAAACTCTGGATCTCTAGTTTTTTCCGTGTAAAATTAAAATTATCCGATTTAAAATCAAGCTTTTGTGTATTTACCCCCGATATATCCCTTTCATTCTGTTTATCGCGCTTTCGTTTAACCTCTGTCAACTGCCCGATGTCTTTTCTTTTCTTCAGCAGTAGTTTCAACTATTGCTTTCTTTCACACATTCTTCAAGCCTCTTGTTGTTTTTGATTCGATTATCGTTATTTTCCGTACTAGCCACTCGGTATTTGATACCTGAAGGATTTTGGTGTCGATGGCTGCAACCGCTATGTTATATGCACATCAGAGTTGTATATAGTAAATAGAGGATCTGTACCTACATAGGACCTGCACGTGGAAAAATAACTCTAACTACAGTGGCCACATTACTTATAGAGTTGCAACGGCCCGGCCGTTATGACACATGCGTGGTGCGTGAAAAGCGAATCAGCTGATTTACTTTGCTCGCAGCTACGTTGTAAAGTTGTTGATTCGTCACTATGTCTCCATCTGGTTAGTGCGCACACTCGCCTACGGCCTGCGCCAGATTTAATTGGGGTCAATTATCCACAACAACACTGTTTCTCTATTTACTATATATACAACTCTGTGGTTATATGACGTCGTATCATTGGCGATAATTGAAAATGTTGAACTACCCCTCGAGTTGGTGGAACCACAGGTTGGGGTCGTTATTCCAAAACGGTGGCGATTTCACTGCTACGCGGCTACGAATGTTTGCTGCATTCAGCATCTTGGAAACGGCTTCCATATCGATGTTAGCTGGCTGAAACCGCGAACGTGGTTCTCGTTCTATTTTATTATGCAAGCGTAAACTGGACTATGTTCGCGTACTGAAAGTACGGTTTTACAACATTGATTAATGGCCGTTTGCACCGACAAATTTAAGCGGAGCTTAGCTTAAGCGTCCCTTAAAATCCATGCCAACCATTGTCTCAATAATCGTGGCCATGGATTTTAAGCTACGCTTAAGCTAAGCTCGGCTTAAATTCGTCGGTGCAAACGGCCATTAGTGTGTATAGTCACTGCCGAAGTGCACGCGGCGAGCGCTGTCGTAGGAGTGACTGAGTGCGGATGCGGGTCTTTTGGCTGGTGGAGCGTGGCGCGACGTCGAGTTGGCAAAGCGAACTGGTTCTGCAGGCGGTGAGCTGGTTATTTTTTGAAGCGCCGTCGAAGCAGGAATAGCGTTTGCAGAGTTCAGAGCTCTGCTTTTAAACCTTTGCGACCAGGGACGCTTTACTTTCATCCTCGCTTTCATGGGTTGGCTGTTTTGACCAATCAGAGTGCAGCACGTTTTAGTTTGCTGTCGGATGTGCATGCGGCGCGTCACCACACACACCATTTTTTAAGTGACATAATCATTTATTTATAATGCTTTTATTGGTATGAAAAATACAAAACGGTATTATTAAGAGATGCTTAATTTACTTAATGGAATCTCTTAGGAACAATATGTTACATAGCACTTTACTGTACAACTATCCCGAAAACAAGGAGGCAAATTCAGTTTAATCTGCCGGGAAATTAGACGATACTGAAATTTTAATGCTGCCACAGTACAGTTTTCATCCGAACATTGCACTTCTAGAGTGATTAGGCAATCTTTGATTAGTATACAATCCATGTGTAGCTTAAATAAAATGGAATCGTTGTCAATAAATTCAAACAAGGTAATAACAACTTCATCTTCAACAATTGTATAGCGCCAGACCCGAGTGTTATTACTTTTCTTAAGACTTACACTTATTACATCTGAAAAATAGCACCCCTTATGCACACTCTCGTAATGTTCTTTCACTTTACCATGTAAATACGTTTTTTTCTTACGGATGAGGTTGCAAAATTTACAAGTACAGGTATTAAATATACAGTGAAATTCATGATGAAGTATAGAGTCACCCTTAACTACTTTACCACAGTGTGTGTACTCCACAGAGTTGTATATAAGTAAATAGAGAGACAGTCTTGTAGCGAAAAATTGACTCCAATTGAACCTTGCGCAGGCCGTTGGTGAGTGTGCGCAGTAATCGACAACAGAGCCGGCTTCAAATTAAATGATCCTTAAAGCAGGTTCGGCTTGAGAATAATATGGTTTCTCATTGCAACAAAAATTGAAAAGAAATTCAATGTGTAGTGAATGATGTTGTTAACACTGTGTCTTGAATAAATAAGAAACATTACAATCGTTAAAAACTTTTAATATAGTAGACTACAATACAAAGCTGGTAAGGGGCTTACAACATACAACATCAGAATCGAGAAAAGATTTTTTGAGATTCTGGTATAAAGGAAATCGTATATTTGTCGTGCGATCGAGTTTAAAGATCTATTTATGCACTCAGTGAGTATAAAAATAAGCAATGAAAGAATAAAATAAGTTGAAATTTTATTTTGGTGCGGGACAAAATTTCAGGTGTGCAATGCCGAAAACACAGTTTGAATACGGATAGCCACAAAGTCGACAAACTGCAAATGCCAATAACTCAAATATCTCAAAAATGGAGCATCGGCAGAGGGTATGTACAGTGGCACCACACTCAGAAGGTCCCTGACAGGGCGTGTCCGAGGACGTTGGAAATTTAGACTGTACATTCTCATGCAAAATTTGACTCTACTAAATATAAATAAGTGGGCACGCGATATGAGTTGCATTACTTCAAGGGGAAACAGTAAAATTAATAATTTTATTTCTACAAAACGTAAACACATTTAAGATTGTTAGATGTTCATGTTCAACACAATTTACAATTCTGATGCACTTCTGCTGTGTAAATAAATATGGACAGTTATTGAAACAATCACATTGAAATTAATATTATAACACTCGCGACTAAATTAACACACAACCTTTAACTTTTTTCATTCATTATCGTCACTTGACCACTAATCATCATCGGAACTGCCGGTGTTCACAATAAATTGTAGATTGTCAATAAGTTCATTTCTCGTAGGAATGTTATTTGCTTCTAACCAAGAACGTATCACTTCCTTACGATTATTCATTGTTGGTGGCTTATTTATTTGAACACTGACGAGGTGCGTGAGTTTGCTGGTAAATTTGGTATAGGCTGCTTCTCTAACCACTGCATAAAGTTGGTATGATTCATATCATCGTAATAATCCCCCGATTTACTGTGCGACATCCTCTACAAAACCAGAACGACTACCAGCATACTACGATGTACCTATAACCAGCCCTATTATAAACTTCCGATACTTCATCTGATTGTTAGCATTTACTTACTCCGTACGATGGGTGAATATAGGTTTCGTCCAAGTATATAACGGGTTTCTTGTCACATTCAGGTTGTTCATTTTCTTTTAATCTTCTTAAATAACGAGATGCCATACTACAATGTCACTTCTTTCCATTACCAACCTACGTTTGTCCCGACACTTCTTGTATCGAAAACCAAGTTTCAACAATTGCTTGCGAAGAGTTTTCCTTCCACCCATATATATTTGATCTTTTCTTGCACTTTTCTAGGAGCATTTTAAAATAACCTTTATTTATGTACAGATCGTCGCCTACTGAACATTGAAATGGCGGTAAAGAGTATAATGTAATGGGCATGCTTAAATTATTACTCCAAAGCGTCTGTTTATTTACAAATGAATCTGAAGCATCTGAAAAGTTATTGCTGTTTTGTTTTGTGATTATAGGTTTGTTCGTTTGTCTGCACTAATCAACACTGGTGTACCAAATGCGTTCGTTTGTCTGTTTGTAACTGCATGCATTCCGTTCGTTTGTGTAGTGCAATTTGCCCATTTTAGTTCATAACAGCACAAACTTTGTTCGTGCATTTTAGTGCGAGCAACTTAGTGCAGCATAAATTAGACGTGAAACGACCGTTCTCATAACCATAAACATTTTGAAAAAACAAGGTGGGGAATCTGCGATGAATAAATTATTGGAAATGAAACTTTTATTTCATGATATTATTGAACAATTTATAAGTAGATCGTCAAGTGAGGAAGATAATATTGCAGAGGTCATACAACAAGTAAATGAAAAATAGTTTCCTGTATAATAAATAATAAATTTATCACTCATGATGCAGTACAAACGTTTTTTGCTGGTTATTTATTTACTATACCCTAAATAAGCGTTCGTTTGTTAGATGCCAGTGCATCAAAAACTGATTACTCCAGCTTACACCGTGACGTCACATCAGTGTTGCACCAAACCAATCGAGCAAGACAAACGAACAAACCTTATGTAACTGAATGCACCCAAAAATCGTGCTGATTCCCTTTCACGCACTGCGCATGAGTCCCAACGGCTCCGCCATTAAAAGTCGGCCACTGTAGTTGGAGTTATTTTTCCACGCGCAGGTCGTATGTACTGCCTCTCTATTTACTTATATACAACTCTGTGGTGTACTCGCACAGATAATTTTCTTCGGCCAGCAAACGTGCAATATTAGAGTTAAATGATACCAATTGGCAATCACTTTGTCTATTAGACGATAAATAACAAGTATGGCAGATGAATTGGTCATCTAATTCAAAAATGGGCAACTTTAAACTTTTGTCGCAAGAACATTTAAGAAATGGTAAAATTTTAGACTGTATCAGATTAGTGTCGTTGTTGTCACTTTGCATTTCTACAGTTAAAGATATTGACAAAGATGTAGAATTGTTTAGCAACCGCCTTATCTCATGTAAGTTAACAATTTCCTTTGGAACGCATAATCAATTAATAAGCAACTATTTAAAGAAACGCACTCATGGCCTGTTAACTGTAAAACATTGTCTCGATTGGAACTGTTCTCTAGTTTGATTTTTGAGTTTAGTTCTAGATCAAATGTGACAATGATATACTTAAAGGTACCAATTGCCGAATCATACATGTAATTAACCAGGAAGAAGCACTCGCCATTTAACACCATAAAAGCATCTTCTGCATCTTGATCCACATGAATGTCAAAGGTAGCACTTTTTAAAATTGACAAACGGTGCTCTTGGGTAAGGTGTTCACGCATTTCTTTAAATTTACCATTCCACTGACATTTAAATTTGTTATGCAATGGACAAGGAACAGGATTATAGTTACACTTGTTGATGTGCTCTTCTTTGTTGAATTTATATGTTACAGTACAACCGTCACCGCTATTCTTGCATGGAAAATGCACATTCGCCAATATCTTTTCTAAAGTAGCGTTTCGATAGGGTTTAAGGCAGTTCCCTTGCGAGCAGCTGTTGCATATATCTCTGCCGTCTTCAAGAAGATAAATTGGAGCAGTTGATAGGTATTGCTTACATATGGTACAAAGAAAGTCTTTAGGAACTAATTCAACACCAGATTTCAACATTTTCGTTATTGTTGTTAAAGGTTCTAACCATATATATAATGGTTCTAACTCTCCCAATGGGCAATCACACAACATTCAAACACAGAATAGATAATAGATATACAGGGTATTGCTCACAACGCGTAATCTGAATCACTAAAGTCACTTCTATATCTAGTGACTACTAAATCACGAATTGGAAACCCATGTAATGTGTTTGATCATAGACGTATTAACCAAATTGTCTTGCTAATATCCTCCTGGTAACCATAAACAAGCATTTTTAGTTGCCTACACTAAGGGCCGGTTGCACAAAAGCAGTTTAAACCTCGTTTAGATTAACGCAATGGATTAAGACATTTGATTAGTTGAAATTTGACAGAACGTCAAATATCAACCAATCGTAGACCTTAATCCACTGGTTAATTCCAAGTGAGGTGCCTTTGTGCAACTGGCCCTAAGTAGCGTTAGAAAATTAGAATATAAGTAAATAGCTAAATGAAGAAAAAGATAGTTAATCGTTCGACCAGGTCACCAAAGTATCCTCATGGTTATGAAATTTATTTTCCCCCAACTGTGAAAGAGGCTGTCACATCAGAAAATTCTGAGCAGTGGCGTGAGGAAAAAGAATAAAGAAATTTCGTAATTAAAAGAAAACAAGATCTGGAAAATCGAACCTGTTTGCTATGTGGGGCCGTTGTGCGTCGAGTCGACTGCCGCGTAGTATCAAAAGTCATCACTGGCGGCGCATGCGTCGAGGAATGTTCTCTGACCAGGCCCTTGTCACAAGGGACAATTCACAATTGTCATTACTGACTTGTAAACACAAGGAGTACCCCTGCGTGCCGTTTGGAACCTTTACGCAAAAAAAACGCTGCTTTGTGAAAAATACCAAAAAACTTGTGTTTCTGAGATCCCAATGGTAAACCTCAAATTTGGCACACCCTGTACACCATCAAATGAAACCAAAAATACAATTTATTGTAATAGTGTGTAAAATCGTTTATTTTTATAGGACACATGCACATAACCGACTTCAATATAGCTACGTTTGTTAAGGATGGACAATTAGCTTCATCCATGTCGGGCACCAAACCATACATAGCACCAGAGGTTTTCGACTGCGCTGTGGATTTGTGTGTTGGATACTCCTACGCGGTAGATTGGTGGTCATTAGGTAGGTAACACAGAGAGATATAGAACCGTCAGGCAGCGTTTCACTGTCACTGGTTTACCGCCAGACCAGTAACATGCAGGTTGCTCTAATGAGCGTCTAACTCCAAAGACGTCTCTGAGACAAATTTACCACTGTGCTCTTACCGCTGTACCCATTTTTGCTTACTTAGACTGCGCGTCGCGTCGTCGTTATTTTGCGCATGACGTCAATGAAAATGCGTTGCTTCCCAGATTGTTTATACCTATTGCTTTTTACACTAAATACGACGACTGATTAATTGACGCCACCTACAGAGCTTTTTAAAAAAGTCAATTCCTGAACGGGCTCCCGTTACAATGCTTTTGCTTTGAAGTACACCTTTCTATGTTGAATTGTTTCAACACATACCAAAACAGTTTGTTATTCCATAATTACACTTTTTAAAACAAAATTCAATCTTTTCACAACCTACTTTAATAAGCCTCTTATTTGCATGTTGCCAAAGGGACCTTCTGGTTCTGGCCCGAATTTTTCTTCGAAAAGTGCACGCAAGTTACTCACACATCCCTTATGCAGTATTTATAGAGGCCTCTTAAGTTTACATATATTGTGTTTTCTGCTATCTCAACACTTAGCAGCTTATTCTTCACTAACTGCAATACTTGAAGCCCATTTTTAAGTAGGTAAGCATGATCATATTTTCCAGTTTTCCTTGGGCTCCAATTAGAAATATATCCATATTTACAGTGCCCAGAAATAACGCCCGTTTATTCACCATCCTGCTGACTGCTAATGACCTACTCGAACGAGATCGTCGCCGTCACACCATGCTAGAGGACTACACAATGTTGCCGAGTATAGTCTCTCAATTTTTTTATTAACCCTTGCCAATTCAACGGTGGGGGGGGGGGCGCAATTGCTTGAGTGAATTTAAATGAAGTTCGAGAAACGCTGCCGTAAAACATTTTATATTATATTTTTACTTAACTACTACTTTTTAGGTGTTGTTGCATACGAAATGCTCCGAGGACGACGACCATTTGACATACACTCAAACACGTCTATTCAAGAAGTGAGGGCACTATTTCAAAACGGAGTAAATTACCCTTCTTCTTGGAAAGACGAAATGATCGACCTTCTCTCAAAAGTTCGTTTGTTGGCATAAAATGAAAGGAGAACAACTAATCATTGTGTTTTAGCTGCTGTGCGTCAGACCTGGGGAGCGTGTTTCAACAATTCAAGAATTAAAACAGATAAAGTGCCTAGACCAATATGACATGGAATTAGTTTTCCAAAGAAAATATCAGCCTTTCTTTGCCCCACCAGTAAATATGACTGCATATTTCAACAAAATTGTAATAATCCGTACGTTTGCTTTTTAGAGAGATCACTTAAATTGTGATCCCACGTTTGAACTTGAAGAAATGATTATAGAAACGAAACCGCTGCATAAAAAGAAAAAGCGATTAGCTAAGCAAAGGTCGATAAGGGAAACGCACCAGGCGGAAGTGGTAGGTACATTTTCAGTAGCATGGTTTGATTAGGTACTAACAAAGATCTTTAGGAGGCAGACTGTCCCATAGAGCTGCACCAAACGATCATACCCGAGTTCAAAATCTACAACAGATACCAGGAGCTGGCTAGGCGCGAAAAAGAACGCAAGGAATTAGCATGGGAAAAGGAACTTCAGCTAGCAATGGAAGCTTCCGATCCACTATCACCCGTAACCAAAGACAACTATACTTGTAGTAGCTGTCCAAAGTCACGCAGTGTAGACGACAGCTGTTCCTCAATTCTAAAAAGTGTCAAAATTTACCATAAAACACCTTGCATATTAGAAACCAAGGAATTTTTAGATGATACTATAATTGAAGAATCTAGTCAATTAGTAAACCAAACCAGTGATAATCAAAGCGCTACAAGTTTTCAGAAGGAAAAAGTTTGTGATATTCAGAATAAATTACAAAATTTTGAATTTATAGATAGATCCCCATCACCTGTAGATCGTAAAGATACTTGATAATTTTCTACTTTTCTCATGTAGGTAATAAGTATAGTATAATGTTAAAGGACCATTTTATCACTTAATAAATATTTTTCCTAGTGTCATTTATTTAAACCTTAAGTCTGCGGTTTCCACTTTTCCAGCAATTAAATGGTAGGTATACCTACCTATGCTAATTTATATTTAAATTTTCTCAGACGATTTCGAGGTACCTACCATTATTAAAAGGCAATGCGAATCCCTTTAGAATAAATATCACCCAAACAACCTTTCCATTTAAAATTTGTAAGGAAAAATTCTATACTAGACAATACCTAAAGATTATGCATTCATTTAAGAATCACAGACAACTATACATCCACGGATTATCGTCGATGAACACCCGATCCCAATAATAAAGCAAGCAACCCCGTCCCGTACCGTGCATGGCACAGCCAATATTCCCACTATCTGACAGCGTTTAATGGAGACGGTGATGCAGGACCTCTCCAATGTAGTGAGCTTCTTTGCAGACAATTTCGAAAACCCATGCAGACTTTCGCCGCAACACCCCACCGTTTCCACAAAAATGGTCTTAAGCTCAACCGAGCAAAGTTTAGCTTTGTCGAACATATTCATAAAATCGACGCGTATGGCGTCCACAAGTCAAACGGTCATATCAGACCCGTACGCCAAAGCCAACGTCCTCCTGGAAATTTGTAACTAGCCATGTTGATCGCGGATCACAAACCTTTAACACAGATCCCACATCCCGAAAAGTCGCTTATTACAGTCCTGTGCATTAGCCGCACTACAACTACAGTGACTTAATTTAGAACAGTGGCGACAACATGGTATCTCGTTTTTGATTGGTCGTTGGCTCCGGTCGCCATATTAGAGCTAAATTTCAAACTGGCCAATAGAAAATCTCCCAAATGACGCGGTACACTCCGTGCTATAATTATCTTAGTAGTATGTAAACCTTTGATGTAATTCGCTTAAAGTCTTTTTAGATGTAAAACTGTACCTAAGCCTAACCTTACTAGTGGTAATTGATGTAAAAATTGTTTCAGAAGCTCTCAATAATGCGAGTTTACATAGAAAACTGGTTAGAGAAGCAGCTTATACCAAATGTACCAGTAAATTCAATTGTGGTTATGGATAACGCAATTGTGATTATAAATACGCTTGAATTGGTTCAAAGTTTAACATGATTTCTGAATCACAAGAATATTCCTTTTTGTACTCCTTGGACTAAATCAACGTGTTGTGTCTTGCATTTAAGGGACTAAAGTAATACCATTGAATTTATAAATTCAATGGTAATACTTCTTATCCCGGAAGGAGAAACGCGCGACGAGAGAGTGATTTCAATATTCTTTTTTTCTTGGTGAGGTTAAAAACAATGACTGGACTACTTTTGATTAGTCTATATTCAAAGATGTCAAAGTAAAAAAATCCATCTAAACACACCAAGCGACAGTATTTCAAATAAAAAACTGTTTGTACATAATATATAGCATTAGCAAGCATGAGATGTAGGCGAATCGTATTATATACAATGGTATTAATATTATATAATTGACGATACTGTTGATTTACAGTTTTTAATAATGATCTATGGGTTTGATCCAGTAAAAATGTGTAAGTATGTAGGCAACACATTATACATTCCAATCGCGAATCATGTAAAACGGTACATATAAATAGGAACACACTGTAGGTATTTGTTGTGCTTAGTTAATAGAAATGCCTGTAGATGGAAGCAGGAGCAGTATTTTTAAAAATTGTTTGGTTGCCTTGAAAAACAACAAAGTAGGGATTTTCATCATGGCAACGAAGCAATGATCATCAACAATTTTGGAAAAGTGATTAATACATTTTATTTTTCTCCCGGCTATATTTTTGAACATTTCGAACGCAAACGGCATAAAAATGAGTGAGCTACAACAGAAAAATAAAACGGACCAAACAGAAAATTTAAAATTAAACAGTAAGTCTGGCAATTTCACAATATTTTTGTTATCTATTATCAGCTTCATTCTTGATAATCTGCCGGTTATCATGGACACTTTGTCTATTTCTGTCTGTTTGCAGTTATGGAAATGGATAAGCCAATAACAAAGCATTCAATACGAACGCGAGTCTGGCAACATTTCGAACGTAATGGAATTTCCAGTTTTCCTAGGCCCGTATACGGACGTATCCCAAATTTCAAGGGCTGTGAGGACGCCGCTGCCAAATTATCATCAATTGACGCTTATAATAATTGTAAAAATATCGAGGTCAATCCTGACAAACCCCAGGAGGGTGCCAGAGTTTTAGCTTTAGAGAATAATAAAAATTTATACGTGCCTGTTCCGCGACTTAAAGAGGGATTATTAAAACATATAAGTCTTCCGAAAGATTCAAATGTTAGATTAAAACAGTTGGTTAGCCGTAAAGGCATTGAAGAAAATGGTACGATAATTAGTATTGAGGATGAGGTACACATTGATTTTCTTGTCCTTGGCAGTGTAGCTGTTTCTAAGCAAGGTATGAGCGATGTGCTGCTCTAAAACAAATGGTCCTATCTATAAAATTGGTGCTTTATTTTTATCTTAGAAAAGCTAACAACTTCAGATAGGACATGTATAAGAAGAGAGAATTTGCAGATAGGACCTTTTGTTTTAGAAGGGCAGTGCCCGTTGGTAGCAATTCTAACATTGATGTGGTAGGTTATCGAATTGGAAAAGGAAGAGGATATGCTGACCTAGAATATGCAATTTTAAGAGAAATGGGTGCATTGGACGAGAACACTGTAATTGTTACAAATGTCCATGATTCACAGGTACAAGACAATTTACCAAAAGTCATTTTTAATTATTTCTATGTGTAGGTATTCGATACTTTACCTAATGAACTATTTCAAGCATACGATGTACCTGTTGATTACATTTTAACACCTACAGAGGTCATAGAAGTTGCCAGTCGTCTTCAAAGACCGCCAGGTATAATATGGAAGTTGTTGTCGCAAAGGCGTGTAAATTTGATGCCTGTGTTACAACAATTGAAAGAGAGACATGACAGGTAGGTACGGTGGGGGGAGGTACGTCTATAACATACACGAAATTGTGTTCATTACTGCTCAGTGAATCGTTTTAAATTCGCGTAATGCGTTACATTATATACAGGGTGTAAAAAGTGGCATTTTATTCTAAATCAACCAAAGGTCCCAAAAATTTGAGTTCTTTTTTTCTCATTTGACTTGGCTGAAGCAGCACCCACTTAATAAATAAAACAAACAATTTTTTTAAAAAACATACAGGATGGACGACTATACCTACCTTATTTCTGTTTTTAAAAAAATAACTGCACTCCTGAACAAAAAAGATTCTGACCTTGGTGAAATTTGGCATTGAAAATATTAATTTCAACTGAAATCCACAAAAATTGCTGGAATTTCATTAAGTTTGCACTCTTGATGTATTTCAGAACAAAACGATCCAATACAGTATACTGAATATGCATTAATGGGTTTGCAGGTATAACCAGCCGTTGTATAAAAAAGTTGCTTGAATTTGTTTGTTTACACGTTTGCATGCAGCTAAATATTTCCTATTTTGGAGTTGCGACATGATCAACTTTTTTTTTAATGAAACACCCTGTATGTTACTGGTTACCATCTTCTCAGTAGTCCTGTTCAAAATAAAAAGGTTTTATACTATGCGAGTGTAAAGTCTGGAACTATCACAATAAATCCATCTCTCATAATGTTTTGTCCATAAACTTCACTGATTTGGCGATGAAATTCAGCTGATTTCAAGCCTTCTGCATTGCAACAACGAATAGCGCGCACTTCGCCATAGGCGGGATTATTATTAATTAAACTGTGATATTATTTGTCTGTTAGTAATTATGTGTATTTGACATGTCCTATATCTACCACGGTCCATGGAATAAAAATATTATAAACGGCACATAATCAAATGTAAACAAAATCGAATGGTTCCATAATGATGTCTGTGGCTTCTCAACAGATGTAGGTCCACGGTGTGCATGCGTTAAATGGTCGATGGGGCATTATTTTGTATGTTAGCATTTCTACATTTCGTCAGGGTAATGTTGATCGTTGACGTGAGATGTTACACATGCTAACATTGACTTAAAAATTCTATAAATTTAAAAGAGGAAATTAAAACTTTACCTGGATCTCAAATTTGGATTTAGCAATTGATTATTTATTTGAACAAACGAACAATTCAAGAGATCTCAACAAATTAGTCCAACCAAACACTTTACACAAAGCTGACAGCTTTTAAAACTCACTTTTATTTAACACAACTTGGGTATTCCAATAATGTTGTATGATGTTAACAAATAATTATCATAACCGATCGGGATATAAAATTTTTAATAAACACTATCATAAACTGGGCAACGACTTTGTCTGGAACCGCAAACGGCATTGTTTATTTTTCATTCTTCGTACTTAAAGGGCAAGCCACTTCCACTCGTCCATTCCATATCGTTCCCCGACGATTTTCGAAACAAGGCTTCCTCGCCTGAATTGATAAAACACCTGCCTTCGTTATCTTGCAGGTGGCGTTGTTAATAAAATAAGGCCAATTAATTTGTCTGATTACGCCTTTACAAAACATCTGGCCAGATAAAACTAATGGTAACATTAAATTGAAAATTGAAGAAATTTTCCAATTCTGTGTCTTTTTGAACGAACTTCCCTCAGATCCTATCAAATAAACTGCTATTTCAAATGCGTAAACTGGAAATTACGTTAACATCACGTAAATTTTTCACTAATAACATAGTGGCTCGCGCTCATCTTCGGCATTATTTCAACCTAGAGAAACGACTCCCTTATAGTTTACACTCGAGTTTACACAACAGTATAAAACATATGAATTTATTATGTAAAGTAGCGAAATTGATTATTTGTGGTTACATTTCTGCGTGTACCACTGATAATTGTGGTTGCTTGCAAACATTTACTGGGAAGATTTTGAGGTTGTGTAGGTACTGTCTAAAGGGACAGCATTCTTGGAAATCTATACCGTCCAATATCCTCACAGCAAAGCCTGTTCTATTTTCTTACAAGGCACGGGTACAGTAAACCAGTAAAGACCTTTAGAGTAAGTTAGCATACTCGAGATATGTCTATAATTGTCAAATCAGTTGATAACTCAAAAGTACTGTTGCCCATGCAAACCTTGATTATGGCACCATAAATCCCATTTACTATACGAGTTCGCACATTACACGAAAATCATTTTTCCGCGAATATCTCGCGATATAGGGGAAACCATGTAAAAAAAAAATTGGGGTGGTGCGGAAAACTCAGTGCTATACTTCAAAAACAATTGGTCTTACAGAAAAATGCAAAAGTCATTTTTTGTAGATAATTTTACAATGAATAATTTATTCCTCCGAGCAATAGGCAATAGCAATAGGTCACGAAATATTCGCGACCTTTTGACCATTTTATAACTTTTATTTGTTACTCAGTTGTAAACGTTGATTAACAAGACAAAACGCAAACGGGTAAACGTCATGTTTAAACTGACTTGTAAAACTGACAGCTGACCTGTAAAAATTTTACAAGTTAGTAATCTAGTAATTTCATTGGCCAGAATTAATGCGAAGTGTCTGTTACATGGATAACATGATATTTTAGACATTTCTTCAAGATCAATATTTAAGAACTAATTATTTACGTCTACTATTGTTTACAAATGAGTAACAAATAAAATATTGTACATTATACGCCAGGTAATAGTTTTTACTGGCTCTAGGAGATGACAAGCTTGCCTAACGGCTCGCTAGTGAACTTCTCCTATCGCCAGTAAAAACTCACTTACCTGGCTAATAATGTAAAATACTATTTAACCCGCACAATATCAATGTCGATTTTTCACATATTCATTTGAATGCTGTAATAAAGATGTATACAAAAACTTGTTCTGCAATTTTGATTAAAGCTAACGTTTGTAGAAAGGGCAAAGATACAACACTCAAAGAAGTGGATACCGACGTGGAGACAAATGATGCCGAAGGGCCTCGTCGTAGAATAGTTTGGCGCAAAAGACGGCGGTCTTTGGGAAAGACCTCTGAATCGCAAGCTGAAGGAGATACTGGCGAAAATGCTAAGCCAAATGGAGTACCGCGTAGGCGTCGATATTACCATAGACGCCGATTACCTCTCGGCGAAGAGAGACCAAATGAAAATGGAGAGTCTGTATGTTTTGGTTTCATTGGTGACACCCGGCAAAAGATGTAACCAGTTTCTACTTGCAGGCCAGCGAACGTCCACCTCAAGAGGGTAGTGTTCTTAAAAACAGAGTACCACATCAACGGTTATACAGGAGGAATCGCCTTCCGATTGATTTCTCATTGATGATTAGCAATATTGAGAAAACAGTTCGTGTTCGAGAACTTAAAAATGCTTTGAACGAGAAAGGTATTAAACCAAACGTGATCACTTGGCGCGGTTATAGAGGTGTCTGTTACTTACATTATACTAAACCCAGCCCCAAGACAGACACATTGCTGGAACCTCGTCAAGTCGATAGCGTTATAGAAATACTACAAAATATGAAAATTAGACCGGACTTGGAAAATCAGTTAAGTGTAAAAGTTATGGATCGTATTTCGCGAATTGAAACTACAGATGTTACCGCAGTTTAATTTTTAAGAATTATTAGTAATATTGGGTTTTTTCTATTAGTTTTTTTTTTGTTTTTTGTTGAGCCATTTATAGTTTCATTAAGCGTTTTAACAATTATAGAACTTTTTGTTGTATTATTATGCGAAGTTGTAATAATTTCTATTTTGATATTTTTCTAATTGAATGTTATTTAAAATATAGTACAAAAATACACTACTAAAAAGACTGCTTGAATGCTGACAATTTATAATATTTCAGAAGTTTATTTTTGTTTATGTGTATCTATATAAAAATGTAATATTTTGTTAATAATAAAACTTGCAAAGGAATTATTCTTTTATTACTGAGCAGAAAATTGTTTCTGAACTTTGACAGTTAGTGAATCAGAATGAAAACACTAAATCTATATGCTATTCATTTTATTTTAAGAAGGTAGCGATAGAAACACGAACTTATAAATTAAGATGGACTGCTAATGCTGAATTGACAAATGACACCTACATGGGGGCAGCCATGATGTGCACTCACTTGGCGCGAAATTCAAATCAACTAATAAACAAACATTAAACTCACGTTTTCTAAATAAATTACTGTGTTACATGTTATTTTCCAAGGCTGCAATAGTCTCAAAACTTGAGCACTAAGAAACTTCCCCTAGAAAATAACTAAAACGTGCACATCATGGCCGCGCCTATGCTAGGGCCATTTCTACATCTATGCAACTATTTGATCAGCAGTTCATCTTAATTTATAAGTTCGTGGATAGAAAGCATAGGGACAGTTTGACCTTCACTGTGATTGGTTAAAACACGAGTCAGTATTACCCTGAAAACTAAAACGAGTGGCGAATTCCGTCTGTGAGAAGTTCCCGTTACGAACTAAACTGTCGAATTGCCATTAGCTGTCAATTTCAAAGATCCGAGCGTGATATCGTTTGATTTATATTTTTAAAATTTTGTGCCATTTTATATTTTTCCTATGTGTGTCGATCTTCAGACACCTTCTTACATAATATAAGATATATGCCTTCTTATAATGAATGCAGTTATAAGTGTGATTGTCAACGATTTTATTTGATGTGTCAATAGTTATTGTCGATCACTTATTACTATTCCGATATGTAATTAACTCCACTAAATGCAGAGTTAACTTTTTTTACCTCACGTCCTCGATTAAACATAAACAATTCTATTAAACAAACTGCATCGCGTTATTGTTGACGTGCAGAATAAGAACATACGTACGTACCGCAACGGTTAAGCCATTGAGTTAGAAAACTAATCTAACTCTGGTGTGCATATACATAGTCAAATTACACGCTAATATTGTTAATACGCACATAATCCTAGATACATAGGATAAGTTTTCCAATTTCTGTCAATAAAATATGTTACGTTTGAGTTCATCACAAATATATTTTAATAAACAAGTTGTAAATCAGCATATGCATGATGCAAGCGCATTTTCGGTAATACAGATCAATCTTTTATTAGCAAAGTTTAAAATTATCGATCTCGCGAGTAACATAACTCAAAATAGACTAGAGCCCGCACATCTACACTATAGAAAGCTTTTAATGAAAATTTGAAGTCTCTAGCTATTATAATTGCTGAGATCTCAGTCGGACAGCCAGCCCGCCATAACGAATACAATAGCGCATTATTTTCCAAAAATGCGCTAAAAATTAGACTTGCACGTTCCTTAATACAACGAACCTACGACCTGCAAGTACAACAAGGCCCAACGTATCTTTATCCACAAACATTTAGCCAATATTTTAAATGCTATTAACGTAAGTTACAAATAGTCCTCTCTTATGCAGGGACCACACACACTTCAGAGTTAATATTTAACTTAAGGAGAAGTTTGTTCCTTGTAAAAATGGTTTGTGCTTTAAAAGGTGTCGTTTAAGACAGTATTTAATATGTGTTTCATAATCGCAATAAGCACATTTAAAATCTTTAGAAACTTTATGTGTTAAAAGGTGCCGTTTAAAATTGTTTTTGTTATTTGTCTTGTAATCACAATTAGCACATTTACAATCTTTAGAAACTTTATGTTTTAAAAGATGCCGTTTTAAGTAGTATTTGTTATTTGTCGTATAATCACAATTAGCACATTTAAACTTACTAGAATCAGTATGATTTAAAAGGTGTTGTTTAAAGTGGTATTTGTTATTTGTCTCGTAATCACAATTAGTACATTTAAATTCTTTAGAATCGGTATGATTTAAAAGGTGTTGTTTAAAGTGGTATTTGTTATTTGTCTTGTAATCACAATTAGCACATTTAAAATCTTTAGAAACGGTATGTATTAAACGGTGTCGTTTTAAGTAGTACTTCTTACTTGCCTTGTAATCACAATTAGCACATTTAAAATCCTTAGAATCGGTATGATTTAAAAGGTGTTGTTTAAAGTAGTATTTGTTATTGGTCTCATAATCACAATTCGCACATTTAAAATCTTTAGACTCGCTATGACTTAAAAGGTGCTGTTTAAAGTGGTATTTATTATTTGTCTCGAAATCACAATTAGCACATTTAAAATCTTTAAAATCGGTATGATTTAGAAGGTGTTGTTTTAAGTGATGTTTGATATTTGTCTGATAATCACAGTTACCACATTTAAAGTCTTTAGAATCAGTATGATTTAAAAGGTGTCGTTTAAAGTGGTATTTGTTATTTGTCTCGTAATCACAATTAGCACATTTAAAATATTTAGAATTGGTATGATTTAAAAGATGTTGTTTAAAGTGATATTTGTTATTTGTCTCATAATTACAATTAACACATTTAAAATCTTTAGTTGCGTTATGATTTAAAAGGTGTTTTTTAAAGTAGTATTTGTTGTTTGTTTCATAATCACAATGAGTACATTTACAAACTTTAGAATCTGTATGTTTTAAAAGGTGGCGTTTAAAATTGTTTTTGTTATTTGTGTCGTAATCACAATTTGGACAATTTAGCACATTTACATTACTAGAAAGATTATGTGTTAAAAGGTGTCGTTTTAGACTTTGTTTATTATTTGTTTCATAATCACAATGAGCACATTTAAAATCTTTAGAATCGGTATGATTTAAAAGATGTTGTTTAAAGTGATGTTTGATATTTGTCTTGTAATCACAATTAGCACATTTAAAATTTTTTGAATCGGTATGATTCAAAAGGTGTCTTTTAAAATGGTGCTTGTTATTTGTCTCGTAATCACAATTGTCACATTTGAAATCTTTAGAATGGGTATGATTTAAAACGTGTTGTTTAAAATAGTATTTGTTATTTGTTTCGTAATCACAATGAGTACATTGAAAACCTTTAGAATCGCTATGTTTTAAAAGGTGGCGTTTTAAGTTGTATTTGTTATTGGTCTTGTAATCACATCTGGTACATTGTAGCGCCTTACGTTTGTGTTGTTTACTCTTTGTTGCATAATCATGAGCACAGTTAAAGGCTTTAGACACCTCATCCTTTAAGAGATGTTGTTGAACTAGCAGCTGACTATCTGTTGCCTGTTGACCAAAGTCACAATCAAATTCGTTGAAAATATCACTTTTAATATCCCATCCACAATCAGTTTGTTGTACTTCATTATCAAGCCATTTGGAGCACTGTGCAGTGATTGTAATTTCGTCCTTTATTGTAACCAATTCTTTATTGCTTCCTGCAATGTTTTCTTGAAGATCAGAATGGATTTCTTCTTCTTGTTTTGGTTCGATTTTAATAAACCCTATGACAGCATTTCCGTCCATGTCTAGCATCAAAACCTTAGGTCATATATACTGATCTAAGATTAAAACGGTATCAGAAAATGTGTTACAATTACGTTTTTGTACAGCAAAAAGAAAGAATGCAAAGGCAAACAGTTCATGAAAAGTCAAAAAAGCTCTGGCTGTGGTTCAGATACCGGAAATTCGAAGCTCATTAGGGGTCTCACTCCAGTGGCGTAGCGATGGGTTTTATTTTATAATGTTAGCCCAAACTGGTTTGTCTTCAATTGTGATCAAATTTAATAAAACGCAGAGTTTTGGTGCGTCCGACGGGAATAAAAAAAATGAAATTTATTACGCACGAGACCTGGTTCAAAATGTACTTATTACATACGTAAGTATAAAAATCTGGGTATGATCCTGGATAGGAAATTACTCTGGACCAGTCACATAAAATACATAATAGTAAAATGTGAAAAAGGGCTAAACCTGCTTCGGACAGTTACTAAAGTTAAATGGGGAGCAAATGCGAATACTTCAATGATATTTTACTGATCGTTCATACGCTCGCTCATGGACTATGGGTGCACGGTTTATGGTATGGCCTCAAACACGAATCTGCTTATCCTCGACAGGATTCAATATAAAGCCATCAGAATCTGTTTAGGATTAATGAAATCGTCTCCGTGTCATGCAATTCTGACAGAAGCACAAGAACCCCCTTTAAATCTAAGAAGAAGGTATACCTATGGCAAAAAAAAACAAGTAGTGAAATATCGATCCTTTAATGCATTGTTGCTGAACAAAATAGCAAATCTAAATACAGAAAACTTAACGAACACCTACTGGATAAGAAAGAACCCCCCGCCTCTAGGGGATGCTTTCGCCGATACCCATATTTTTAAAGACATACCGTCCAGATCGATTTACCCTATAGCTGTAGATTTAACGAAATTTTATTGAAACCAACCGTCATATTTCCTAATTATACAGATCTTCCAGTTCTTAACAATACAATCTTGAAATCCATACTGACTACATTAGCGGAAAAAACAATTATTTATACAGATGGATCTAAGACGGGTAGCGGAACAGGCTTTTTGTCCCGTATACCGATACAGTACTACAATACAAAATTCCAAATGTATGTTCAGTTTTTACGGCTGAAGCCGTTGCCATAGAAAAAGCTCTTATATGGTGTTTGAAAAATTCAATAACAGGAGCGATTATAATATCGGACTCATATGGGCGAAAGCTCATGTTGGTATTGCTGGGAATGAAAGGGTAGACCGAGAAGCCAAAAATGCTACCAAAATAAACGACATTACGAACCTTAGTTCATCATTTAACGACATTATTAATAATTGTAAAGCAAGCATACGAACGGATTGGGAGGCATTGTACCAAAAAATGGCTGCAAAATCCAACAATCATTATTTCCTCATTCACCCAAGTTTGCCGCATTCCATTCCTCATTTCACCATCCCGGGTGTTACTAAAGCCTATACTAGTATGATTTCGAGACTAAAATTGAATCACGGGCGCTTTCCTGCCCATCTATTCAGGCTTGGTATAATGGATTCACCAAATTGTACCTGTGGTAATAGACCAACGGCAGACCTAAACCATTTATTCTTCGAATGTCCAAATTATGCAGACGCAATTAAAACCCTATTAAAAGAGCTAAATGATAACGGTGTCCAACTAAAAAAAAAAAAAAAAAGAAGAGGAGGATGAAGAAATATTATTACAATTACCTAATCTGAAAAATAGCAATGCCCCAGTAAATCCAATATTTCAACGCGATAGAAGGATGATGTAAAATTTAGAGAATAATTATTATAGGTTCATTAAAGCACAGTTTAATTCTTTCTCGACTTAATAAAAGACGATATAAAAACCGAGCCATACAACAGAGCTCAATATTCCATAACCCCAGAGGAACAATTAGCCATTGTATTAAAAGGGGCCGTATACCCAAATTTCATGTTTTCGTCTAAAAATAGAGCAAAAATATTTACAAGTAACGGTGAAAACCGCAGGTCGCTACGACGTTTCGTTATTAAATGGCAAGGTGTCGAATGTTAACAACGGCCGTGTGTGACGTCATCCCGAGAAATGAGTCGGTGGCACGCTATAGCAATTCATGATGTATTAATTTGACACTGGTAGTCAGTGATCTGCCTTATTTGCAAAAATGCCTAACTGTTGTGTTGTCGGCTGCAACAATAATTTGAAAAATGCCAATGTTACATTACATAATCTTGTCTCTTTAAGTTCTCTTAGTTCTTTTTGGCTATATCTTGGTTCAAAACCAAATGCCATCCTGGTTGAAATACACCACCAAAAATTTCCTTTACTGTAAGCAAAGAATACTCTTTGCTGTAAACAACCTCTCAAGATCGAAACTCCGACAGTGACGTGGTGATACCGTAATGATGATTAAAGAACTGACGCATTTGGACTTCTTGGATTCGTGCCGCCGCGCCCGCGATGTTGGGATGACGTCATCACTTCTAAAAAAGCATTATGCGGGTCAGTATGAGTAATGGATTAAAAAAACTGTGGGCAAAATCGAATAAGGCGGGATGTTTTGCTACTAATTCAATTAATAATTCATCTTCAGTGACCGTAAATAGCACTGTCGACATGTTTGGGTACTTTTCTAATTTGAAAAACAACAACAAACGCTCTCGCGGCTGCGGCTAACGTTGATATAAAAGGCCTAAACTCCGTACAATCTACGCATGCGAAAGAAATCTTGGAGCACATTAGAAACTTTGCGACCTTACTGTCGTTGTGTTCGGGTTTGCAATCGCAAACTCTATCGGACCGCTTGCAAGGCATCTTTGTACGAAGAACTGAAACCTACAAGTAGCAAACATTAAATTGAATGCAGGGACGTGACCGTGTGACGTTCACGTACGCCAACGACTTGGTGCATGGTCTTATACAGCCTGGTTTTGATGGCCCATTCCTTCGTGCTATAGCGGTGAGTGTCGGGTCCGTTGCTGTAATGCACGAACAATGAAGTTACGTGACGGCCTATTTGTGTCGGTTGTCATCTACAATCGGGCTGTCTTATTGGAGGCGGTAGGAAAGCAAATTTGTATATTTATGCCAGTAGGAGCGTTCCAGTTTTATCACCGTAGTAGCCGTCCGGTTTATGAGCGCGTAGGTAGGTATTTCAAATGGTTTGGGTTACGATTTGTGAACATGGGGCTTATACTGTCCTTTTCGGATTTTATACTGCTGCTTGGGTCTTAGTATATAACAACGTCAAAAGTCTGTGAGTTTAAATGTACATTACGATTTACGAATATGTTTATTCATTATAACAGATACCAGCTTGTGATGAAAACAATAACCTAACCTACATTTTAATTAATAACATTGCAACTTTGACGTTTCTTTCGCATGCGCAGATTGTACGGAGTTTAGGCCTTTTATCTCAACGTCTGCGGCTATACTGCTTCTCGAGCTGTACCGTCGCATCGATCGTAGTCGTTCGCGGCTGACGCGTGCGACGTCTGCTCAGGAGGAACGGGGTACGTTTGAAAGCATGCGTAGGAGTGCGTTGCATGGCGGCCGCATGGAAGGAACCATACCTTAAATCACGGACCTTTTAAAAAGAGGTAACAGGTCCGTGATCTATAAAAAATAGCTATAATTAAATTAAAGGTCTCGAAAATTAATTAATTATTTCATCAGAATAGTTTTGCACCACCTTGTATATAGGCGAACGTGAAAGCTAAATTTTGACATTATGGCGGCACGCGCTTGCGCAAATGTCGCCAACTCTTAACGATCCGCCCAGGCACGCTTGTTGACGAAGCTTGCGAAAGGTGTTAAGTTTTCAGTCGAATTTCCAAAGAAAATTGTGAAATGGGCACTCGCGTGTTTGTCGGTGGTCTTACTTATCGTGTACGCGAACGCGACATCGAGAAATTTTTCCGTAAATATGGAAGAATTAAGGAAGTAGCCATGAAAAATGGTTTTGCGTTTGTCGAATTTGACGACTACAGGGACGCCGATGACGCTGTTTACGAGCTTAACGGTAAGGAACTTTTGGGTGAAAGGGTGTCTGTAGAGCGTGCAAGAGGGACGCCGCGTGGATCAGATCAATGGCGCGGAAGCGGACGGGGTTACGGACCACCGCGTGGACGGAGTCGCGATAATAGAGATCCTGATATGAGATCACATGACAGATACGGTCCGCCAACTCGTACCGAATACCGCCTAATTGTAGAAAACCTTTCCAGTCGCGTCAGCTGGCAAGATTTAAAAGATTATATGCGCCAATCTGGCGAGGTTACTTATGCTGATGCTCATAAACAGAAGCGCAACGAGGGAGTTGTGGAATTCGCTTCTTATTCCGATATGAAAAATGCTTTGGATAAACTAGACGATACCGAGCTAAATGGACGCCGCATTCGCTTAATTGAAGATAGACGCCGCGGCGGTGGGGGTGGCGGAGGCAGACGGTCACGTTCTTCCAGTAGCCGTAGCCATTCTCGATCTCGTTCTCGTCACCGTTCAAATAGCCGTTCCCGTTCTAGATCCAAGAACGGTGACGGTTCGAAGTCAAGATCGCGTTCAAGATCTCGTTCCAAACATTCCAAATCTCGTTCGCCATCTAAACCCAACGATCACTCTAAGGATCGTTCTCGTTCACGATCGATGAGCAAGGATCGCAGCAAGTCACGTAGCCGTTCGGCGGGCAAGGAAGAGAACATGTCCGACAAGAACGACTAAAATGTATGTGTGTTGCCATCTTCTTTTGAATTAAGGTTTGATATACTTTCATTAATTTAGGCTAGATATCATTTTACTTCTTTCTAATACCTAAGGTCTTGAAAATTCGGCCTTCTTTGTGTTTAAATTTTAGGAAATACAAATTCATTTGTATTGGGATTAGACTTAAGAAACCGATATGTTATTTTGTTTAATTTCTCGTCCATTTCAGTACTGTATTTTACGTAACATTGATTAACCTAACGATATAAGTAACCATTTGAATAAACTAAATAATAAAAAGGTCACCGTTTATTATTACGTTAATTAGGATTGAATAGAAATTTGTTTTAAGTTTTTTTAAAATTTGTTTCAGTGCACAGTTACCACCCTTGGTAAGAGGTTTTATTCCTTAACCGATTGAGAAGAGTGAGACTGTGCTCATTCCATTAATACACCCACCTACCCGTGATGGTAATTTCGTCCATGTCCATTGATAAATGTGCAATCAATCAATCCTTAGGTCAGCAAATCCTGTTTAAAAATGGTTTGTGCTGGTATTTTAAATTTATCATTATTTTTATGTCATGTAAAATGTAATTTCTTTATTATTAAACTTTTTATACTTTTTAATCTATCAAGAATAATTGATGGGACAAAGAAATTACAGCTACATTCATTTAATTAACTTTTACATTTAGAACAATCCACAGTCGATCAAGGGTCCCCCACACCGGCTCAGGTCTTCTGTACCTCGTGTACTACTCCCTTTCAAATACGGAACCAGGACACTGCCAAGTGGCCGGTTGTGATTCTCCCCCGAATACTGCCTGAGGGTAATTGTCCATTCCACTTCATTCCCAAGGCGACGTCGGCGACCAAAATGGCCATTCCACCCATAATGCCGACCGATCGATCGTAAACCATAGTAACGCTTTCGAACGACGCACGCAATTAAAGGTAATGATGTAGTATAAGAAGTGCTTTATTAAATGGCAACCTTACAAAATTCCACCCTTGTTTTGTAGATCAGAACGTATAAATAATCGATTCGCAATTGTGTTTATAGCTGAATGCACCAAAAAAAAAGGTTGTGTTGTTAAACATTATTCCATACATTACTTGACGTAATTAAAGATGTTATCATTTTTGATCTTAGCAATTTTTTGAGTGTTATGTGGAAACAAAGGGCAAGAGTGAGTGATAGACCTATGAACCAAATAAACAGAGTAATTGATTTCATAACTATACACATTGCACATTTTTTAAGGATTTCAAAGTAATTCTATACTTCTAAGATCATACAGGTAGAGTTGCCATCTTTAAAAACAACTTTCAGGATGTAACATGAAATAAGTCAGGTAAAAATATTGTGTCAAGATTCCTAAAAAAAAACGATTACCGAATAGAATAGCAAAAATCGTTAAGGCATTAAAATAAAAGTGCAATTTTAGCATTCCCTTAAATGTTTCTGCATGCTTATCTTAGGACTTGGCAAATTTTAATATTTTTTTGGTATTTAAGAACATACTACGCTACGTGTTTGGAGTTCTGGAACTGCCGTGGCCGTTGAAGTTACACCGAGTAAAATAAAAACAGCAATAAACCATAATAATATAACGGGTGTCCCAAAATTAACGCAAGATTTGAATTTGCCGCCATTTCTGCGGTGAAGTGTTGGCAACCCTGAAAAAAAAGCAATTTGACAGCTAACAGTATAGGGTTATTAAAAATGGAGCGTTACACGATAGAACAACGTGTCTTCATTATTAAAGAATATTTCAAAAATAGTGAAAGCTTGGCGGCTGCAGTTCGAAAATTTCATACAAAATATGGTCGGAATAGTGTTCACATTCGAACGGCTTGTTTTTGGACGACCAGTGTGTTTGGCGTCTCCAACGGATCCAGTCTCCATGAATTTTTCAATTAATCTCTTCACAGTTGACGAAGTTAAAACACTATTCCGACCATATTTTGTATGAAATTTTCGAACTGCAGCCGCCAAGCTTTCACTATTTTTGAAATATTCTTTAATAATGAAGACACGTTGTTCTATCGTGTAACGCTCCATTTTTAATAACCCTATACTGTTAGCTGTCAAATTGCTTTTTTTTCAGGGTTGCCAACACTTCACCGCACAAATGGCGGCAAATTCAAATCTTGCGTTAATTTTGGGACACCCGTTATATATTGAACGCCTTCCAACTTTGATGTTTTAATATTTTAGTATGATTTATTGGTGTTTTCGTTTTACTTTTTGTCACTACATGTTTGCTGTTCTACGTAGCTCAGTTGTGATTACATTAGTAGCTCTAACTTCAGTTGCAAGGGTGTGCAAATCCCAAATAAGGCATGTCTGCTCAGTATAAAATAAAAGCAATTCAGATAAAAACTTCACTTGTTTCGGAGTCCGCGTATTTTTATCGTCTGCCCCAAGAAAATTCTGTGCTGTGGAACATATTGTATTCAAAAATATTACTTTAAAATTGGAAATCGTCGTCGAATTCTCTCAACATTAGAAGATAAAGATAACCGTATGAGTAAGTCAAATCGGCTTACAAAAATTCGCTTATGACTATGTCAAGACATAGGGCACGTATGTTAGCAATTAGGACATTTAAATTATTTTTGACACATTTTGAAATTAATGGAATACCCCAATATGTAGTTTCAAAATGTGTAACATTTTTCTCTGTGATCGAGGGGTTGGCCACATATACCCACATTTTCTTAAAATTTGCAACATATCCAAATTTATCGGAATTTTACTCTAATTACTGCATTGTTACATGTACCACATTGCTACTCGTATATTTACAATGGGATTTTTTTCAAGTTTCAAACATTTTTGTATAAAATTACATTAATTCAATCGTTTCGCAATTTGGATGATTTTATAAATAAATAGATCTGTACAATTTCAGTCTCTGAACATTATGTCATAGTTTAAAATATCAAATGCATTCATTTGTGCAACGTTTGGAATTTTAGAATTTTTTTTAAATCGGATGAGTATTAGACAAGTTGCAGTAAACAAAAAACAATAGGTAAAAAACTTGTTCTTGTTTTGTACTTTGTACAGTATGCTCTTTTTTGACACTTTTGTAGGGTATCTTCGTAATTATTAGTGGTACCAAAATGTAATATAGGCGTCCTGTTTTCTTTTTGGGTCAAAATTTTAAATTTCAGGATGGCATTAAATTTTTTTAATTAAAAGAGATTATACAGAAAATGTTTATTAAAAACAATTTTCTTTATAATGACTGTTGAATAATTTGCTCTTTTCAAAACAAGTATACGGAGTGTGGTAAAAAAAATTATCGGGCCTCCCTTTTTTTTATTGGAACACCCTTTATATATTTTAATCTAAAATTCTGAGACCAATCAGTTGTCGCTTGTAAAAGTTATGCACGTTTTTCTTTCAAAAACAGCATCTTAGGAAATAATGGGGGCCCGCCTCCCTTAATTAAGGCAGCGAACTTTAATGGTCCTCTGGCACACCGTCAATGTATAGGCTGCAACAGCGCATTTGTTTGCATTCTTAAAAAATGCGATAAAAATGATTTAACTCTTATTCAACCGTAGATAAGCAAACAATAGGCGCAGTTCAAATTCTAGAAGTCTTTCTGGCTTAAATACGACTTACAGAGGTAACAGTGGGGATACTATGAGAGCAGACAGACGCTGGACCGAATATGACTCACAAGACACATTGCGACCTGTACACCTAGGCTTCAACTTACAAAGATCGTTTGAGAGAGCTTCGAGATACATAGGTAAACTTCAACTTTTGGAGAGCAAATTGATTTTGAGTTATGTGGGGTTATTTTTTTGACTTCATTTTTTCCAAGAGGATTGAAAATCATTCGAGTTAATGTTCGACTTATTGGAAGTTGATTGTATGTAGTCGTAACAGTACCTCTGCTGTCTTGCACATTTTGGCTTAAAAGGGTAAGGTACTTCGTGTAGGACTTCCGAGTTCTTCACTTGCCCGAAAATTCATTTTGTCCTCCGACTGTAGGTTTGTTGATATATTCAATTTTATTAAGCGGCAGATCAAAGGGATGCAAACTTTTTAGAGGAGTCGATGGTGTTGGTCTGTCTGTGAATACAATAACTAACAAAGGCTTGGACCGATTCGGTTCAAACTTTGCACAATTGCCCTAAAATCATAACAGACGACCAGCGCCTACCAGAGTTAATAATTACACCGTCATAAAGTGACTTTTTTTCTCGTATCAATACATTCAATTTTCCAGTGAACACCCTATATACTCGAGGGCACAGCCATCAACGATTTCCCGAGTGAGGTTCCGGATCTCCGCGAGGGCTAACTAACTACACTCCAAATTTCAACTTGATGGCGTCCAAATTGCGACCTGTATCGACAAGAAGCACATACATAAATTTTTTTTAAATCTTGTTCTCGTGGTTAAAGGACCTCATCTGAAAGCTTTTCTAGATCCGCTTTAAACGCCGTTTATTTCATATGAGCCAATGTAGCAGTGTAATCTCCAAAGTGAAATTAGTATATTTCTTAATGGGATTTTCAATATAGTTTCTATGCGCACGGTTTCTTGGGTGCAAATGTCACTTCCGTCAAGAACTATTTCAAAAAACCGCCCGCCATGGATTTCGAGCAGAATTATCCATCCAAGTTGGACTGGACCGAGCATACTCTGATCCAGCGCCTTAGTTTGCCCTGTGTTTGTGCAACCCAATGCACCTTGATAAGAAGGAAAGGAATTTTTTAACATCACTTGAGAATTAACACAAGGTTACTTCAGCCGCACAACACATTTATTTGGCACATTATTTGACAACGCGAACGGCGCAAATGAGACGGAACATTTACATTTTCAAAAACATGAGATGAAAGGAGTTATTATTATAGGACTAAAGTAGAACCCAGATTATCTTTGTGCGGTTATGCAGGCAGTGGAACGCACGAATAGAAAAATCTAGACATGAGAACTATATGGGTTGCACAGTGGGCTCAATTAAACACATAGTTAATTCATCGCAAAAATTAAAGCAACAATGCTGCAAGAAAAAAAACATTTAGAGCCTTTTTTACACATACCACGCACGCAAGCGTTCGACAGACAAATAAAAAATTGCTTGTTGAATTAAAGGACTTGGTCAGGAGGCTTCACTATGCAACAACTGTTTCGTTCCTCCCAGCCTACTAATTGTACTAAACCTTTTCCCAAAATATACGGACAAAACGCGTTAACTCCTCTCATAAACTTTAACTAAAGCACTTTAGGTCGTTCAAACTTCAATCTTTCAGTACGATTATGCAACTTATTATGATCACGACGAAATACTTCTCAAACCAAATAAATAGGGCAAACGCAACGCTCTCCAACCATTACTAGCAAGCAATCAAACAAGCCCCGTTAATACATTCAGTCCAATTCTGTAACTAACAAGTTTGCAATATTGCTAACTATAGCAACATTGCTCACACAAAATTCTAGCAATATTATGAGCAATGATAACAAATTTGTCATTCTTTAACTACCAACTTGAGCAATATCGCTAATATTCCTACACTTCGTCAAATTGCTACGAACTAGTTAGAACTTAGTAACAGAGTGTTGTCACTGGGCGTAAAATTAGACGCATTACTGAACTCTTACCACCTAAATTCACAACTGTTTAAACTTTTTAATTGTAAGGTTAGTTGTATTTTTGATTTAAGTTTAACCGATAGACGCCTTGGTGACTTTAAAAGTGACGTGCGACTTGTAATTTGTATTTGCTCGCCATGGAAAATACAGATACCAAACAGCGTGGTGCTAGAACAACATGGAAGCAACATTCCCTAATTGTGGGCAAATTAGAAAACAAGTAAAAAAGTTTTCGCCCTAAGACGATTAACTTTATCGCATTTTCCATGCATTGATCACATGATACTACAACTTTGTAGTATCATGCATTGATCAGTAGTTCCGAAAAGGTCACTGAAGGGACATAATGCGGATGCGCAGTGTAATTGTTACTATTTTTCTTGGTTCAGGTGCCCAATACGATTATCTTTCCTGGAAGCATCTGTTGTTAAAATTTCTCTATAAATAAGAAATTTGGCAGTTTGCCCATGTCCACATCTGATGTTTACAATATGCGATATGCTTATCTTTACTAGAGACATCTATGTTTAAAATTTCAAAAAAATATCTCTATAAATAGGAAAGTTGACATTGCGCCGTTTAATGGTCAAGATTTTGCTTGGTTCAGATGCCAGAGTTATACGCTACCGAATGCAAAAAGAATGAATTAAATATCTTGAACTGTAGGAGTAGTTAAGGCCTCGGACAGACGGACAGAGAAAATGGCTTCAGTAGCGCACCCAACTTCTTTGGAAAATGCGCTAAAAATGCCATGTTAGTTCATGAAAGAACTGCTCCAAACGATATTAAAAACTAGATGAATTATGATAAGAATTGAATCTTCAACAGCGTTTAAAAATTCGTATTTAAACCAACCACCTGCCATATTGGAGCGGGTGAAATACACTTGCTAAGACTTAACAACAGCACTTTACCTATTGCTAGGGTCAAGCAATTGAATTGTTAAAATTTTAGGCAACATTGCTAAGTTTGTCAGTAGGTACAGAATACCACTTTTAACAAATATTGCTCATCTAGCAATTACCTTCACTATTAGCAAGTTGCTAAGATTATTTTAAGTTACAGAATTGGACTGATTGTCTGTTTTATTTAAAAGATCCAGCACTTCCACCGTAAAATAATCTTCTGTATGAACTTTCATATAAACCACCAATTACAATCGACAATAATGCCAGCTTCGACGGAACGTGTCTCCGCTTACGCTTAGTAAAATACCTGTACCTTTTTATCAGAACCACATGTGCATTAATTAAGTTCCAACCATTCTGTCCTCTCATATTTTTCCGATAACTTTACTGATTTGGCGGTGATTTTCAGCGGATTTCAAAGTTTTTCTGCTGAGAAAACGAAAAACGACCTGTGTGGCGGTAATGGAGTGGAAGCTCGACTGCTCCCTGGTTTGAATTCAAGTTCGGGCAAGGATGTTTGTCAATGTAAGGTGGGTTGGTTGGCAGAGTAGCTTTGGCTGAAACCCCGTCGACTTGAAAAAGGCAAAAAATTACAACACCCACTTCAAAGCGGGATTTTCAATCGGTGGCGCCATTTTAACGACATAATTATTCCATAACGCGGCCTGTGACTTCTTGTCAGATGTAAGTACACGGTTGCGCATGCGCTAAATGCCGACCGCAGCGCTGCGGCGGTGGAGTTTACAAACGTTACTTACAAAACTTGAGACTGCATTGTATATCAGCTGTTTTTAAATATAAAGACTTGCGGCTTTCGCGACCGTTTGCCATTTTTCTGTGAAAATTTTAATACCACAAACAGAATCAATCTATGTAGTTACATTTGTTTCTGAGATACACTGATATTGCGTTTTCTAGACGTTTTGAAGCACAAGGACCCCAAAAAAGTGATTCTTAGCTTGACGTCTGAGGGTGAATGTGTATGTATGTGGTTCGTTTTTTGTGACCACGATAACTAAAAAAACCCTGAACCGATTTGGACGAAATTAGGGTTGCATATAGGGTGGTATGGGGAATCGAAAATGTCCTATTTTGGTTTTGATCCATAACCATCTTCATGGTTGTTGAGGGTGTCAAAAGTTTGAAAGAGCCATAACGGCTTGAAAAAATTTCCTTTGTTTTCGAGAAGTTTTGAATTGAAAAGTTAAACTATTTATTTTATTTTTCTAAATTTGCATTTTTCTCTAAAAGTGAGCATCAGAGTAAAAAATGTTAATTACAAAAAAGGCTTCTACACTTTTTGCGTCGGGTTCAAAATAAAGGCGCTAGAGGGCATTTTCTAAATTGTTATACTATTATGACCAAAGGTAATTGCAATGACTCTAAAAGTAGGTAGTCGGAAAGTCAAGTCGGGAGTTTACCTGACAACTGGTTTTAACTTTGAATGGGAATAATTTTTTTTTTTCATAAAACTTCCATATGCTAAACTTCACAGAGAATACGAAAAAAAGTGTGATTTAGAGTTGCGAGTTTTTGAAAAATGGAAGGTGTGTACCTATGTGTCGTGGTAGTTAAGCAAACAATTCGAAATGTATATGTCGTAGTCTTTTAGTGAAATCCGTCATTTCACGAAACGCCTAGTCATTTATATGAAACTGTGGCACAGTGTACTTTCCAGGGCCAAGCGATTGGATTCCGTTCCCATTGGAAATCGATAATAATGGTATCCTTATCGATCTAGAAGGGGAAGGGAAATTACCCCACACGTACAAATTTTCAGCGTTTCACTAAATGACTAGGCCTCGGACTAGGCGTTTCGTGAAATGATGGATTTCACTAAAAGACTACGACATATATACTCTGTTTATTTGGAAAAAGTGGTTCAAGAAATTGAAAAAAAAGTAAACAGTGATTTGACCTAAAAGACTTTCCCACTCTTGTTAAATTCGCCTCCCTCTGTAAGGCTGTCGTTTACAACTACTACATCACATTTCCATCAAACTGGTATACCTGTTGACTTCAAAGGCGTAACAGATCATTTCGCTTGGGAAGATATGACTTTTTGAAAAGCGGGATTACGGTAGTGTCTTGGAAGGGGTTGGCATCACGATCACATCTTTTGAACGAGCTCTTTCCCTCGGACAATTCCATACTGATGAAAGTACAGAATGCGATATTTCGCAAATTGGCAGGCTCCAATAGTTTCACAAAAATTATATGTCGATTTAAAGCTCGCAAGAGGGGTCTCAACGCTGATCCTGCCATTTTGTGTATATTTTGATGACAAAGATGCTTCATGTAGAAATCTTATTTCCCATCCAGGTACATTTTTTACCAGTTCAAGTACTTCTTACGCCTATGCATCTGTTAATCTCAATCCCGCTTGCATAATGCATGGCATTTCTTTTTAAATTTTGAAATGCAGTGACGAATTTTGAGGAATGTAACATCCTATTCCGTGCCATTATCTCGCCTCACATGATTGTTTAATTTTTAACAACCCCCAAAGTCAGTGTTCCTCGCTTTTTAAGCTAATTACACCGCCCCCTTCTCTTAACAGCTTTTTAAATATTTTAGCGCATTTTTCATGGAAGGCGTTTGCTTGGATATTGGAAGTACGAAATAAGAAACATTTTCATCACTTCTCAGTACATGTTGACTGTGGTTTTAGTCGTGACTACATAATTTAAGTGAATAAAGGGACATTGAAGTGATTTTGAAACTCCACCACACTTGCAGACACTGTTAGAGCGAACCCCCCTCCCCAATCACACACTATTGAACACGATTAATACTAGTTTGGCGATACCCAAAATCGGCGCCCTGAGTAGCTGTGCTGTTTGCCTGTACCATAATCCGGTACTGATTTTTCCAGGAAGGAAAAATTATGATTAAAATTTTAGGTGCACTGTTTACCTAGATACTAACATTTTTCTTGGTATAATTTGGGGTTGTCTAATCGAAGATGTAGTATTTGTGCTACCTACACCCAACATATTTTTGGTTATGGGTCTTACTAGTTTAGTATGTTAAGTGTACAACTTACATTACTTCTGCGCAAATTGTAGATCTGTAGACTTGAGTTTAAGGCTAAAGAAAAAATAAACTTTTGCTGATTTGAATGGGCTTAGTATCCAATGAAAGGCTGTTTAATTCTATCAGTTTTTTTAAATCTTTGTAAGCCTGATCAATAAAATTTCGGTTTTTTTTCTTCGCTTTAGCTAGCGACAGAAATAAGAAAAAAGACATGATTCTCAACGGGAACTAAATTGTTTAAACACCATGTTTGCATATGATACCATCCCGATTCAAATCAGATGATTGCTTATTTTTGTTTTTATCAAGTCAAGGCTACATAGTTTTTGCTCTGACAGTAATCACCAGGAGTTATAATTACTTTAGGTGTTAACTAACGAGTAGTAAGTGTTGCATTACTGTAAATATAATCATTGCACGGACCTATGTTATACTGCGAGTACTCTTTCTCATGCAATTCTGGTATTTTCCAGATTCCTATATTAGAACAGAGGGTGGAATCTGTCCGTTCATTCCTAAGGTCGTAAATCTTAAAGGTGGCGGTGGTTGGTGGAGTATACGTTCTGTTACCAAGTGAGGCAGCACAGGAACGTTCGATCCCACAGTCTTAAGCGATCATCCCTAACCATATTGTGTAACTTTGCCGCTCAAAACAGATAAGATGGACGAAAGGAGAGAGAAAGGTGTAACTTGCGCGGTAGGGTTGCGCAAACGACTTCCATGCAACACACTGATTGATGCCGTTCAGCTTCTCAATGTGATGGATCAAAATATGTATAGCTTTTTGGATAATATAATACAAGAGTTGTACATCAAATTGATGCGGTCTAAGAGCTTTGTTGTAGAGACCTCGTGGCCAAAAGGCGACAGTCTCAGGGGTGGGGAGAAAGCATTGTTTATCGTCGCCTTTACTTTACTAGTGAAATCTGGGGAGGAGACAGATTCGTTCTCTAAATATCGCCCATTGTTTAATGGAGTATTACTACATAATGAGGTAAGGTCTTTGTAGTTTAATTAATGTTGTGCTATTAATAATAATAATAAATGCCTTTATTCAATTAGAATGGGCAAGGTTCAGCAATGACATGTATGCCATGTGCTGCTCTTGCAACTTCTATCAATTATTGCATTATGTTACCGGTTCTGGATGTACAACTAAGTACTCATTTATTTTATTTTTTGTTAAAAATTACATTGAAAACCAGTTTTGGAAGACCACACTTTCCAAAAAGTGAAATGGAATGATACCTAATAACTATTATAACATTTGTAATGTCATGGAGGTGTGCCAGAGTCAAAAGTTGCATAAAATTGATCCTATTAGGTCACGGTTTATGTGCTGTACAAAAACTTTGAACGACATGGCTCAAATCAAAATTGAAGAAATTTGATTAATAGGAACTACGAAACTGTCCTTTGAACATTTTGAAATCTGGTAAAGAAAACAACCCAGGTCTACAATTTTAGGAGCGGAGATGCAGCTTGTGAAAAGACTCACTTTGTTTCAAAGTGCCATTATTTTGACAATAGATACAAAAAATGAAATGTGATAATTAAAAGTTGTGAAATAGAATTAAACAAAGAAAGTAACAATTAATATAAACATTGAACTTATACTAACCGGAACAGTTTCAAGGCTTACAAACGTATGCACACGGTTGAGGAAGGGCGCGAGAAAAGGACAGACTGGTTGTTATATTATGTATGCTAAATGAAGATAGTAATACTGCCACATTGTGGGTTGCATACCCACAAAAATGTCTCGCTTGTAGTAACGTTGCGCCCTTTTCAGTTAGTATAGAGTTGAATGGATATAAATCATGGGGTAAATAAACATTTGACTTAATTTCGAACAAAATTGTTTACCCTATGAGAGCTAATGTAGGTGATGGCTGAAAAAAATCGACTTAAATTTGCACCCTTAACTTTGTCGCTTCTACACACTAGTATTTGTAAAGAGCACGAACCCTAAGAGTAAGCACTAGCCTTAATTTAACACTTCTTTGTTCAAATAGCATAGTTTTTCCACCTTTGGAACTGGTTCCATTCCAGCGTGTGGAAAATACTGCATCAAAAGACTTGCATTGGAGAAGTAGTACATACGATTTTTGTTGATAGCCGCCTGCATTTTCTACTGTTGCTATCTTTAGTGCCTGGTTAAGTAGGAAGAGTATGTTCTCCGCCCACCAAAAAGCAAAAGGGAATTTTGTTAAAAATCCTTAAAAAGGATGAATCGCATCTGTATTATGAAATATTCCTGAAACTGTCTATGATTGTGGATAAGCCGGCAAGATAATTAAAATTAAGAGAAGTAATGGAATTTGTTGCATTTCGACGACGCAAGGTTCACAAATTGTCTGTCTTATACCGAAGAAAAACTATGCTGTTTTGTACTTGGGTGTCACTCTTGGCAAGAACGGCACGAACGAAAACAATACATTTTGTGACGTTATAGCATTAAGTACTATGTTTGAATACGTACGTTTTGATCTGAATAAAAAACCTTTTACAGCTTAAAGTCAATTTTATATAATTTGTAAGAAGTAATACCCACCATTTGAGTTTTAATCTATATTTTCCCAACTGTTGGTTGAGTAATACCATTGAATGGTAATACCTATCTGATAACTTTATCATTTTCCAGCAACTTTAATAGGTATTCTCGCACGAGTAGGCGCCGTTGTCCGCAGTGGCACCATTCTGTTGAAATCAACAGTTTCCAACTTGTGTTTTTTTGTGTGTGTGACAATGCCACTCAAACAATATGTACTTTTTTACGGGCCATATCAAAAAATAAAGTGGAAGATTTCTTCGAAACTAAATTTATTGAAAATCTCAACGGTCTCTTGTAGAGCTCAAAAAGTGGCAATGTGAAGGTGGTTTCTATTTTAATCGGTGATTGCTGGTTTTCTTTAAAGGATGATAATTGTTTAATTGCGCAACTTGTCCCTAATTTGACCATCGTCGTATCTTGTATGGTTTCGGAGATCGCCATGATAGCATCCTTATCTTAGACATAGTAGTGTATATAGATAATGTCCCTAACTGCGGTCGGAGAGGTTAGGGGTGTGGCACATTTATTCTCTTAGCGATCAGGTTGAGGGATCGATTTGGATAAGAGCCTAACCTACCAGTAAAAAATAATAGGAGAGAACTTGCATTAAAATGGATAAAAATTAAGTTTTAAGAGTGGGGGGAAATGCGTTATCATTGGCAGTGGCGTATAAATCAAACTGACATCGTCTTTTCTGATGTTTTATGATAAGTGGACATAACTGACCAGCGCAAAGGAAGTAATATAATGGCGTGCTATGCTATTTCCTACCACCGTTACATTCTCTCTTATTTTTTACTCGTAGGTAGTGTACTTAACCCTTTAAAGTTCTACGGTAATAACACACGGAAATAAAATCCATCCCGGCAACGTTTAAAATGGCTCTTCCCGTCAAAAACTAACCAGATCCCGCGTAAATTTGAAATCTAAAAATGCCACGTGATCAGACATTACTAAGACAGGGCCCACTTACGTTCTTGTAGACAACGCGAGTAATTAAACCATTGAATTTATAACTATTAAATTCAATGATTAAACTACGGTAGGAAAGAATATACAGGGTGATTCCTATAGTACCTGCCACCGTTTGGGAGCGTATAGGGGGTGCCTAGGGGAGTATTTTGATATAGGACACTTGGGGTCGGAAATCTAAAATAAGGGCGCCAGAACCAAATTTATCTTCTGGAATTTCACGCCTGTATGTAGGCAACCCAACCGACCGACGTTTCGCGCGGAGCGATGCAGAGCGAGTTAGCGCGAGGAAGCGACATGGGAGGGAAGGAGGGAAAACGACAGTCAAAAGCAATAACGTTTACAAGTGTTCAACGTGGCCACCGTTGTTCTCAATGCACTTCCTACATCTAGCCAACTATTATTATACTATTGCCATAGTGTTTATTCACTTGATACGCGTCGTTGCAGACGGGATTTCGTGGGTTTAAACAAAATTCTGATCAAGTGTCAGCCACACATCGCCGCCTGAGATCGCTCCGTGTGCACCGCCGGCCGGTTGGGTTGCCTACCTACAGGCGCGAAATTCCAGAAGGTAAATTTGGCTCTGGCACCCTTAATTTAGATTTCCGACCCCAAGTGTCCTATATCAAAATACTCCCCTACGCACCACCTACACGCTCCCAAACGGTGGCAGGTACTATAGGAATCACCCTGTAGGTATTATAATGGCGTCATAGTATAATTCGTATTTTAATAAGTCTGCATTTTGAGTAGGTAATTATTTTAAGAGGCTTCTATACCAGCGCAAAAACCCTATGTAAAAGTGTTTCGCGCCGTGCCTGTTTATTCTTAAACGAAACGTAATATTGCTAAAATTAAGTGATTTTGATGTTTATAAAGGTGAGATCTAGGATTGTATCGAATTGTATTTTAAATAGTCACTTTAAATCATACGATACAGAGCGATAAAGAATTGCTATTTTAGACAATATTCAAAGGGTCGTAGATCTTAAACAAAAAAAATAGTAGCAAAACAAATTCGATACAATCCTAGACTTTGGTAAAATCCATTCACAGCAATTAAAAAAAGTTTATTATGTACCAGTAAACAGACACGGCCCGAACGCTGCAACTGTAAAATTCTAGCAAAATTTTATTAGGAAAGTGCTGCTAAAATTAAAAAAAAAATAGGTTGTGATACATCAATGTAATCAGGAAAAGGAATGATAAGAAATTGAAGTTAAGATATACATAGTGTTGCATTTACTAAATACCAACTTTGGGTCAAATCTCAGAAACTTTTCGTTTTCACCTTGTATCTCAGAATCTAACGCAGCTAGATTTACTGTATTTGTGGTATTATACGTTTCACAAAACCGTAAGTCTATCTCTAAAAACAGCTGAGATACACTGCAGTCTCAAGTCTCAACCAAAATAGGACACACAGTAGGTACAACTAAATTTTATAATTTATAAAAATCGTGATGGGCCGCAGAGGTTTCAGAACGGGGGGCCGCATGTGGCCCGCGTGTTTCACATGCCTGGTGTATGGTGTACTAAATTTGGTCCCAATCGGTTCAGGCGTTTTGCCGGAAATGAGCGTACAGACGGACCGACATCATCGAGATTTTGTTTGATTCGGATTCCTGGTGCTTCAAAACGTGTATTTTCGTCAAAAGTGGGGAATCATTTTTTATCCCAATGCCCTTACACGTGCGGGTGGTAAAAACCAATCAGTTTGGTCAGTACTACGACTTACACGTCGGTTTTTGCCCATACACCTCCGTTTTATAACATTTTTACTCGAACAATTTTACCCATGAACGAAATGTAATTAGATCAGTTTGTCATTTTTGCTTACCGCGCGGCGCGGGCGCTGTGTGCTACATCAAAATTGGATTTTGTTAGGTACCTCTTTCATACGTGGCCTTAGCTCACCTTTTCTTTTCTACAGTCGCCCATTGTTCTAGTCAAGGAGAATGCGCCTCTGATGCTGATTATAGCAACAACACCTAAATTAGGTGTTGATTATAGTGAATCTGAATATTGTGTGCGCGGAACGGGAAGGCAAAGATGCGTACCTACATACGAAAATGTACGGAGGGAAACGATATTGCGAATTACAGTACCGCCTCCTCACTACTCTAAATCTACACCCCGCAGGCCCCTGAGAAACTAAGCGACGGGTATAGAAGCCTCTAAGAAGCCTCTTTAGTCAATTAATTATTTATAATCTCGAATAACTAATTAAAGTCACTACGATATAGAAAAAGTACCGCCAATCATCCCGCCATTTTTTGGGCAGAATTTTCGCTTGCCACTTAAAAAATTGACAAATAAAATCTGAATAGCTGTCATTTTTTATAACCTAACTTCATAGTACTGTCATGTTTTATAAAAATATCAATGAATAAAGAAAAATATATACAGATACCTCCAAACAGGTGGAACAATCCCTAACATTAAAGTTACTAGAATCTGGTAACTTCCGCCATTTTTGGGCAAAAATCATGCGTTCTCTCTCTAACACGAGCCCAATGGATTGCGGTACTTTCTATATTTAGTGACTTTATAACTAATATTGAAAATGTGGTCAATGTGCAAGGTAATTAGTTTCATTAAATGGTTGATAATAAAGCATGATAAATATAAATTACATACACAAAGCAAGTAAAAACAAAGAATTGGTTGGGGTACAATGTTTGATTCAAATTATAAAACCACGGAACGTGTAGAAATTAGTAAATTGTGATATAACTCATATCGCACATAAATTCAAAACCCACGAATTTTTGTCTTAGCAGAGTTACGCGCCTGGAAAAGGTAGAAGTATGGGCCCTCGTGCGGGAATTCCCACCCTATAGTTGAATAGTTGAGTTCCAGAATAGTCCCAGCATTAGTGTCATAACTAATGTGGTCACTGCAGTTATATATCCCACATGACTATATACGAAAATTGTTAGTTTATTGGTCTCCGAGACGCGCAAACCGCTTTCCCTTCTTGTAATGTTGCGCGGTTGGCAACTCTAATAAATGGTGTGCATCAGCGTGACAACGGGGTGGAACGGCGCATACAAACCTTAGCAAGCCCCCAGCAGCGCCAACAATACTGCATTCGTGTTCGTTATTGTAAAACAAGGCGCTTTCTTTCGGTGATCCAAACGCGTTTTGATTGCCAAATCACGTTCTTTCGAAATGTGATTGTATAATCATGATTGCTAAAATTGTGAACAAAATGAACATAAAATTTTTATGATTAGTTACGGATAACGAATTGCTAATGTCAGGTTAGTCGTCAAAAACAACTTCCTCAAATTCTTATCCTGATTTAATTCGTTAAGTATGAATTATTCTGATAGAAAACGGTTGGATTTTTATGACCCCGAAAATAAATTAACGTTCACAATACATTTAAGTGAAGAGGAGCATCATCGTGCAAGTACAGGTAAGAGAACTGTAAAAAATATACTAAGCTTATTCAACTATCAAATGAAAATACTCAGATGTTACTTATGCTACAAAGTTATTTGCTCGGTATAAGAGCAGAATGAAAGAAAACGCAGAAATGCCCTTGAGGGATATAGAAAGTATACAGGTTGACAATGTGGTGGATGGAGTTTGGTCCGAACAAGAAACCCAATTATTAATATCGTTGTATGCGGATCATTTGGAGGATTTTACACATGCCAAAAAAAAAAAATTTGTATGGGATATTATTTCTGAAAAAATGTGTGCCTATGATTACAAGGTAACATATTGTGTTTTGCCTAACAAGGAGATAAGAAAACTTAATTTTAGAGAACTGCTGCCAAAATTGAACGGAAGTGGATTAATTTGGTCCGAGTTTATAGGTCCATAAAAGATAACAAGGGACCAAAGAAATCCGGACGTGGGACTCAGTCCTACAAGTATTTTCAGTCACTTGACGATATATTAGGTGATAAACCATCAAATAACTCTGATGTATTAAGTGTTGAAGTCGGTGTAGTAAACCAAACCCAAACACAACAACATGCAGAGCATACATTAGGAAATACACCTCAAACTTCGAAAAGAAGAAGTGGAAGTAATGAATATTATATGTTAGCCAAACAAAGAAGGCATGAAGAAAGAATGGAAATGGAAAGACAAAAGTTAGAAGTGGAAAAATCAAAGACAGAATTATTGAAAGAAATTTTAGAAAAGTTACAAGGGACAGACAGTACATAGATTATTAGTTATTTTATTACAGTATTCACGTTGGTTTAAACATATTTAATAAAAGTTACTCATTTATTTCGTCATCATAGATTTTTTCGGTAATGTCATTACCCATTAAACATATATTGTGCAGAACACATGCGGCAACAACACATTTTATGATAAATGTTAGCTTTAAATTTTCAAAATATCTTAATCTTCTAAATCTTCCTTTCAATGCTCCAAAAGCATGCTCCACTATAATCCTAGTTACAGAATGCCTGTAGTTATAATCCCTTTGTTCATCACTAAGATGCCCATTATCCTTATAAGGAACCACAAGCCATTTTAGTGAGGGATACGCAGAATCGCCCACTAGGCGGTACTTATTAAAAAACGTAGTCTGATAGTTTTCAACTGCTGCATTATACATGTAACTTTTTCTAAGAACTCTCGCATCGTGGACTGATCCAGGATGACCAGTTGAAATATCTATGAACTTCATCTTTGAATCAACCACACCCTGTAATATTATGCTATGATAACCTTTTCTATTCACATAATCTTGTTCGTGAATAACAGGTCTATGTATTTTTATATGGCAGCCATCAATTGCCCCTATAACATTGGCGATACCTTTTTTTTTTTCAAAATAATACGCCTCTTCTTTGGCTTCTTGCTCTGATGGCCATTTTATAAATTTGGAACTATTGTTAACAAGAAAGTCAAGTACTACGTTAATTACATGATGTGCACAACTCAAAGTCACGTCGAACCTATCAGATATTTGACGAAATGTCTCCATATTAGACAAATACCAAATTGTGATATAAATGGCTTTTTCGGCCGTAATATGGTTCCATCCTCCTTTATAGGCTTTAATACTGGAGCGATATAACTCTAAAAGATCAAGTATAAAGTATGGAAAAGGAATAGAGGTGTGAATACCAATTAATTTTAATGCTGTCTCTCTTTTTAAGCGGAAATGTTGTTTGAACTCTTCATCTGAATATGAAGTAATTGTATCCATGTAGTGCATTATTCGTATCCGTTTCCTTCGTTGGGTAGTTATATTTATGTCATCATCAGATGAAGAAGATGCAGATATTAGAGGACTGAGCGAACGGGACAGTTCCATCTATAATCAATATCTACATGCACTGAATCTCTACTCAAGTACTAAAGAACACATTTAAAAAACGATGAACTACTTACCAACACTAATTTTTCCATTTTTGCAACAGAGCAGATGCAAATCTCACATATAATAACTCAAACTACACAAAAAAACTTCTATACGGTATATCAATTATTTTGACATAATTCAAATTCAAATTAAACATAACCATAATACTTTGACAGATTAGAATTCGCGCGTTCTTTCGTAAATCGTGATTGTAAGAATCATGATTTTAAAATCATGATTGCGAAGTAGCCGAAAGAAAGCGCCT